GAGCGGGCGTGGGGGGTCGACGGGCGCGGCGCGTCGGCTGCAGCGGGCGGCACCGCCGGCACCCACCTGCAGCAGGGCCGGCTTGCGCTCGGCCTGCTGGTAGGGCGGCGGCAGCGGCGCGCCTGCCGGCCGGCCCGGGTACGGCGGCGGCCGCACGCCTGACGCGTAGCCCACCGTACCCAGCGCCGGCACGCCCATCGTCGGCTGGCCCGGCGGCAGCGGCCGCTGCACCAGGATGGCGCCGTGCGGCGGCGGCCGGGGCGGCGCGCGTGGCCCCGGCGCCGCCAGCTGGCTCGCCGCGCCGGCACTGCGGGCGACGATACAAGCGTCAGCGCGCGTGACGTCGACGCCAGCGACGCGGCGTTCGGAGCACGAGCACCAGCGGCATCTGACGTCACACCATACCGCACTTACCATCTACGGATATCCCGACCACAAGCATGCGTGAACAACGTTGTCAAGTGAAGCGTCTTACATGCTGCAGGTCATGTCATATCAACACGGGCCGCAGCACCCTCCCTGGCCCCGCCGGCCGCCACGGAGCCGCCCGTACCTGGACGCCGTGGTGACACCGGGCACGACGGCGGCTGTGCCGGGCGCGGCAGCCGCCGCCGGCGCCTGGCCGGCCCGGAAGCCAGCGGCCGGCGGCGCCGGGCGGCGCGCGCCGTCGGCTTCGGCGCGGCTCTCCTGCTCCTCCGACTCCTCGCCCACCAGCTCTAGCACCGTCTTGTGCTCACCGAGCTCCGGATGCGCGTAGTTGAGTAGGTTGAAGTCATCTCCGATACCTGGGCGGACCGCGAGCGGGTTAAGCAGGCATCGGAACGACGAAGAGCAAAAATCAGGCTGAATCGATGCGTCTAGGGCATGGACTGGTATATTGAACATAAGCGTCACTTAATGGTAAGGCGAGACGACTCTATGGAGGTCACTTATAAATAGTCTCAATCCCCGCGGCACCACTTAGCAAACTATGTCACGTGACAGGATGCCTGATAAAGCCTTCATCCAAAACTGGCCGGTACCAAAAAGGCCGGAACAGACTCGAACCATCCCACCGCCACTGACCGAGCAGCTCGTCGTCGTCGTCGCCCTCCTGTTTCTCCTCGGTGGCTGGCGGCGGCTGTGATGGCTGCGATGGCTGCGATGGCTGCGCTCCCTGCGCCGGCTGAGCCTGCCGTGACTGCTGGGGCAGCTGGGACGGCTGTGGCGGCTGACCCGACTGGGGCGGCTGAGGAGTCGGCTGTTGCTGCTGCTGCTGCTGCTGCAGTTGAGGCTTTTGGGGTGGCTGTTGCGGCTGCTGCTGCTGAGGCTGATTTTGTGCCTGTTGCTGCTGTTGTGCCTGCTTTTGCTGTTGCGCCTGTTGTTGCTGTTGCGCCTGCTGTTGCCTCTGCTGCGCCTGCTGTTGCTGATGCTGTTGCTGCAGCGCTTGTTGTTGCTGCTGCTGCTGCTGCAGCGCTTGTTGTTGCTGTTGCTGCTGATGTTGCTGCTGCGATGCCTGCTGCGACTGCGGCGTCTGCTGGGGCGGCTGCCGAGCCACCTGACCGGCCGGCGGTGGCGGCGGCTGGCCGGGGGGCGTGGCCGCCGGCGGCGCCGGGCTGCCGCCGGGTGCCGCTGCCGTGGCGGCCGGCGACAGGACGGCCGCCGCCCCCGCCGGGGACGAGACCAGCGGAGCGCCGGCGCCGGCCGCTGGACTGCCGGCCCCGGCTGCCAACACGGGCCGAGTGTCAGCCGAGCGGCGGGGCTGGACACGCCCGAGCCGGGCCGCAGCCGCAGCCGCAGCCGCTCAACGCACCGAGCCGTGCGATCCAGCCGGACCCTGCCTAACAACTCCCGCCGCTTAACACAGCCTTACAGAGTGTTCATGACTGCCGCCACCTGCAGAAAAGCAAATTTGAGTTCCAGAATATCGGAAACACACGAATGGCATCTTGAAAGTCTTGCAGAACAGGACGCCAAACTCATGGCATCAATAAAGGACCGACATCGACCATCTTCCTTCTCCCTCTCCCCCCCCCCCCCCCCCCCCCACACACACACACTCGCATCAGTGTACAATACATACCGCAAACTTTATACAAAAGTGCAGCACAACACAGCAAAGCACACCACACCAAGCCACGCCAGGTGGGGCAGGCATCATTGAGTTTTCAGCGCCAGAGCTGGACGACGGCCACGGCAGAGCGGTGTCGCGTCACACAAACGAGGCCAACCAGCTGGCGCGTCTGGGGTCAGGCCGCAGCGGCGGCGGCAGCCGACACGAACGCACGCAGGAACCCTTACAGGCGCACATGCATCACACGGAAAGCAAAGATAATAATATATAAAATGACATGAGAAACCGAACAATTTCTGTTCAATTGAAGATGCATCAAAGACGGATTCCTTGAGCCTCCTTCCTGGCGTATTGAGTTCGGTACCATTGGGCATTGCTCCACAAACTACGCCCTATGTGAGCCCTATCTAAACCTTCAAGCCCCCGTCTCTAGCGACGGCCCCAACCGGTAGCAACGGCCGCAGCCTCTAGCGACGGCCCCAGCCTCTAGCGACGGACCCAATCCCTCTAGCGCCAGCCCAAATGCCTAGCGCCAAAACTAATCTCTCTAGCGTCAGCCCCAACTCCTCTAGCGCCAGCCCCACTCTCCCTAGCGACGGCCCCAATCTCTCTAGCGTCAGCCCCAATCTCACAGTCTTCCAACTACTCCGACCAGGTAGTGTAGTAGACAGACCAACTATCGACTGGCTGCCTGACCGCGCCACCAGGCAGCCGAGGCAGCTGTTGGGCCGGCAAAGCGGGGAGCCCCGGGGCTTGAGAGCCCTGAAGCCAGAGCACACTGCCAAGCCAACAACGACGGCTCAAAAACCCGTTGCAGTGTGTCAAACCACGCTGCCTCGGCAGTCAGCTCACGCCATAAAGTAGCGCTGCCTATGGAATGCGTGCCTCATAGCGAAAAGGCCTTGTGAAAGCGCTGCACGTGTAAGCGGACGGACCGCGGTGAAAGGAAATGGAAATAAATGCAACAAGCAGGAAAAAAGGCTTCAGAGCCATGGCGAAACAGGAAGTATAAACAAAAACTTAGATGCAACAAAACATGTAAAAAGGCAAACAAGGTCTGCTAATATGGCAGTGGGGAACAGAGCCAGGCATGCGGCCAACACTACGTGCAGAACACCGACGGACGGACGGACGACCGCGAGGGCCACCGCCTACCTTCCCGGGGGTTTGAGGCGGACACGTGGAACGTGTCGGGGTGAGGGGGCGGCGCCGGTGGCGGCGGCGGGGGTGGCGGTGGCGGTGGCGGTGGCGGCGGTGGTGGTGGCGGCGGCGGCGGCGCCCACATGCCGCCGCTCATCAGCTCCGGTCTCCGCTGCGGGATCATCATGTGGGGCACGGCTGCAAAGGCCGGCCGTCAACCCCGTCACTGGACGATCCCGGCACTGCTGGGAACCGTCACTGGACGGTGCCGGCACTGCTGGGGACTGTCACTGGACGGTGCCGGCACTGCTGGGGGCTGTCACCGGACGGTGCCGGCACTGCTCGGGACTGTCACTGGACGATCCCGGCACTGCTGGAGACTGTCACTGGACGGTGCCGGCACTACTGGGGACTGTCACTGGACGATCCCGGCACTGCTGGAGACTGTCACTGGACGGTGCCGGCACTGCTGGGGACTGTCACTGGGCGGCCCCGGGAGACTGAGGCCTGTCACTGTACCGCCCGGTCACTGCGTGGCCCGGAGCGCTGCTATAGTCACATCGGATCAACATCGCTAGCTTCCCTTTCACTCGCTCCGGTTTCAGCAGTCACAAGAAGAACGAATGGACGAAACCACAACCCATTCGTTCTTCAGACCCACCCATGACGAGCACACCGAAACAGCGGCGCCCCCGGTGGACGAGACAGCGTCGCGTCCGGTCGGCCGTCGGCTCCGTGACGAGCTGCCGCCTCACCTGATCGCTGCACGGCCTGGTACTGCTGCTGCTGCTCGTGCTGCGGGTGCTGCTGCTGCAGCCGCTGCTGCAGGATCATCTGCAGGCGGGGGTCCATGACGCGCGGGCCGCCCGCCTGCATCATGCGCTGCCGCAGCTGCGGCGGCAGCGGCTGCCGGAACTGCTGCTGGTGGTGCGGCAGCGGTGGCGGCCGCGGCGGCCCTGCGCGGCGACAGCCCGCCCCGGTCAGAGGCGAGCCCTCCAGTCCGGCATACACGTGCGGTCGCGGCCCCCGCCCTCGGCTCACACCGCGGCAGGCGGCCAGTGTCGCGGCTGTCTCCTTCTGCGCATTACAAACGGCCCGCAGACGCCGCCCAGACTCACAGTGCAATCAACCGATCTCTCGCAGGCCGCTACCAATGACACCTGCAGCCGACTTCGCAGCGGCGGCTCAGCGGCAATCAGCACATACACCTGGTGAGCAGCAAGGCGGGACGCGGTCACCCGGCGCCTCACCTTGCTGGTGCTGCTGCTGTTGCTGCTGCTGTTGCTGGCGCTGTAGCAGCTCGCGCAGCTGCTGCTGGCGGACCATCTCCGGCGGCGGAGGCGGCGGCGGGTGGCCAGCGGCGGCAGCGGCGGCGGCAGCAGCGGCGGCGGCGGCGGCGTCCGGCGGCAGCCCGGGCCGCGGCGTGCCCGGCATGTGACAGTAGGGATCGGCGGGCGCCGGCCGGCCGGCCGCGAAAGGGCCGGCCACCGGCGCCGGGAACGGAACGGGACCGCTGGGGGAGGGATGGGCGCGGGGGGACATGTGCGGGTGGGAGAGCGCCTCCTGAAACAACGCGCACACTCACGCCCCCGCCTCCGCCGCGCGCTCGTCGCCGCCGACAGCACAGAAACTGCGTCGCTTGCTCTCTTGCCTGGCCACAAAGTGACCGGCGTGATATGTCTGGCGCGGCGCACGCCCCCGCGCTGACTGGACGTCGTAATTCAGACAACGTAGAGCGACATCACACAACGCCGCAAGCGCCTCAGCTGCACCCTCCGACACCCACAGCTGGCACTGCTGGCCGGAGTGGTGCCGGGCTGAGCGAGCCGGGCTCGACAGCCGCCTGTCCGCCTCACCTGGGAGGTGGTCACGTGCAGCTGGGGCGGCACGCGGCTCTGCAGCGAGGTGGGCAGGTCCTCCTCCAGCTGGCGCTGCACGCGCGCGATTGCTGCCGACACAGGCACCAGCTCAGCACGGCACGCGGCCGGCAGGCTCGCGCAACGGCGCACAACGGACGACCAAGTCGGAGAGGCGCCGGCAAAAGACAGCATACATAACGTGCAGCCATTGTAAACAGTGGCCTTCTGGAGCGATGTTTTCTGATGCATTCGAAAGTCAGCGTGCGGTGATGTGGAGCGATACATATTCCGAGTGTGTTCTTCTTCATCGGATCCGACAAGGCCGCCGACCACAGGCTGTCGGACTGTCGGCCACCCGCTGCGCCGGGGCTTCGCAGCATCAGACGTATTGCGCGCCTAGCCATCCACTGATCTTCTAACCTTGGGCCTGTTGGCGCTGCTCCTGCATCATCTGCTGCTGCTGTTGCTGCTGCTGCTGTTGATGCTGATGGTGCTGCTGTTGCTGCTGTTGCTGCTGATGTTGTTGTTGCTGCTGCTGTTGCTGCTGCTGCTGGCGCAGGGCCTGCATCTGCCGCCACTGCTGCTCGTTGGTCTGCAGCGTGGTGGGCCGCGGCTGGACGGCCTCCTGCGGATAGTCGGCCGGCCTGTCACACCGCTGGCCGCCACAGCGGCACCCTCCGGACCGCCGGCGCGGCGCCCCGGTCGCAGCCCCACATACACTGTCCCCCCTTCCTCTCCCCCCCCCCCCCAATTCGCCAGGCATGACACAATGCTCCGCACGCTGGGGTCACACAGAGGATAAAAAAACACGTTAGCCAAATACACGACAGCGAGGAGTCGGTGCTGAATTGCCACGGTCAGCTCACAGCAAACGTGAATAACTTCCAGGGCACAATCATTCGCCACAACACTATGCAAAATGTAAGCCCAACGTCTCAGTGTAGCTAACACCAACAGAACAGCAATATCAGTAAAAATATCAACCGACTACGACATACGGACAGAGCACACACAGCGATATCCTGCTCTAGTACTTTTAGATTGATTTCGGAGCGAGTGCTCCGCACACATGCCAAACCCGAACGGAGCGGAAAAACGGATCAATCCAGTGTTAAAAGGCCGGGTGCCCCTGAAACGGAGAGCCAGCGAGAGTGAGAGCCAGCCGCCATCCAGTGTCCATGCCGGCGGCCGCGCTTGGCGGCGCGCAAACACCGCACACCGCGTGCGGGCGGCCCAAGCGCGGGGGGCCGCCGCCCGGCACAGCACAGCCAGCCAGCCAAGCACCGGACCAGCGCGCGGCGCGGCCCGCTCCCGAGCCCCAACCTGTCCGAGCGGCCCGTCACCAGGCGACGCCGCCTCAGCCGGGGTTAGTGCGGCGGCCGGCGCCGCGGGCGGCGGCGCAGGCGGCGGCGGCGGCGGTGACGGCGGCGGCGACGGCGGCGGCGGCGGCGACGGCCGAGCATCTACCTGGGCTGCGCTGTCGGCCGGCGGCGCGACCGGGGCGGCGCCGCTGCTGCTGCCGCCCGCTTGGGGAGAGGCGGCGCCGCCCGGCTGAGGGGCGGCCGGCGAGCCGGGCGGCGCCGCGCCCGCGCCCGCTCGCAGCATCCCGCTCTGTTTGGACTGCGGAACGAGAGGTTATTGGTGCCAGCTCTTCTGGCAGACGGTACGCCGCCACAGCGTCATGCCAACCTGACGGACCGACCTGGACCTCGGCACGACGACGCTCTCGCCGTCAGGTCGGCGCGCCAGGTCGACAGGTTCGCACTCACCGCGACCGAAGAGGCTCGTCACGTCATCACCGGACCGCACTGCGGCGGTACGGCTGTACTGAGTGGGGACTGTACGCACCTCGGTACGGTGTAGCTGTACGCACCTCGGTGCGAAGCCATCGCCGGGCTGACAGACCACCCGAACTCACCACAGTCCAGCACGCGGTGCGCTGTCGCGCGGGCCCAGCAGGGAGGCCCTCCCTCCAGCTCCAGTCGGTGGCGATCGGCCCGACTCCGGCAGGGAGCCCCCTTCCCCTCCCCCAGACTTCAGTCTGCGGCCCCCGGCCCGACTCCGGTCCGGGGCGCCGTCCCTTGGCGACATGCTCGGCCCGGGCGGCCGACACGCGTCAGTCACAGCACGGCACTCTGTCATCGGCAGCGGCCGACTCAGGCGGGCCCGGGGGCCGCGCGCGCGAACCCAGCGTCCCGGGGCAGGTCGGCGCACAACACGGGCACGACACGACACGGCACGGCATGACACGGCATCGCGCAGCGCGGCGCGGCCTGGCGCAGCGGCGACAACTGACCTTGCTCGCCGAGCGGTTCTCCTTCGCCTTCTGCAGGTATGGCTGCTTGCTCTCCGGCGAGAGGGCGCGCCAAATCTTCATGATCTGCCGCACTCGGTCGGCGACCGCTGCCAGGCAGGAGCGAGCGGGTGAAAAAATCAGACGAGGTCACTCGCCAGGGGTCGGCTAAACCTGGCCCGTCTCAGATCAGATAAACAGGGTGACGTACATTCGATGCATTGATGGGCATCTCCGACGACGTGTCAACGAAAGAGCGTGCGCATCTTACTCCACATAGTCCAACACAACAGGTGCAGTAGTAAATGCCCGTGAGCGAAGCCGAGCCATGGGGCCGACAGCCAGTGGCCGAGCCGTACCTGGAAATTCGGCACGCAGCTCCGGGTGTTTGTGGTTGGCGTAGAGCACAGGCGAGATGGTGGCCGCCTCGCCCAGACTCTCGTCGTGTTCCCACTTGGCCATGTTGCGCTGGTTGTAGGTCTGCGACTCGCCTGTGCTGCCGGGCGGCGCCTGGACGGGCCGCACGCCGCCGGCCGCGCCGCCCGGCCCCCAGCCCACCTCGCCGCCGCTCGACGGCTCGCCGAACTCCCCGAACGGCGCCCTGAAACGGCCGGCACCGCGCGCTGACGACGACCACGAGCACCTGGCGGCCCGCCGACCTGGTGTGGCGACAGCGCAGGCTGGAGCCGCCACCGGCTGACCGCGACACACAAGCTCGCACAGAACTGTGGCGCGGGGCGGCCCGACGCCTGTCTGATCGCAGATGGGACTTTGTCAGACGTCTGCACTGTTCAGACATACCCCACACGAATCAGATCAGCGGCGACATTAGACCAACAGACCGATCAGGCAGTCACTTCCCTGTGTCGCGCCTTGGCTCACGGTAGTCCGCGTGACGGCCAGGGCGCGCAAACATGTCACATGTTGGCAAAAGGATAGCTTTTAGGCCTACGGGTGCCCGCCGGGTTGGTCACACAGGTCCAACAACCAATGCACATGCATCTATATCCAACAGAGACTCGGATATGCGTTCCATATACATCAGTCTGTGTTGCACGCCGGGACATCTGCAAGCAGACCAGCCCCCCCCCCCCCCCCCCCCAAGAGACAAATAGCTCCGGCAGCCGATCACATCGGGCCGTCATCACCACCCAGGTTCCGGCAGCCTGGCCTGACGCATCAGGTCAGCCGCCGCCGCCGCCGTACTCACGCGTGCTCGTGGCTGAACTGCGACATGTGTGGCAGCGGCGCCTGCACAGGCCCCGGCAGCAGCTGCGGCTGGCCGGCCGGCTGGTGCGGCGCCACGCGGAACCGGGCCGCGGCGCCCGGCTGCGGCGGCGCCGGCGCCGGCTGCTGCGCCGGCTGCTGCGCCTGCGGCGGCGCCGGCACGTCCAGCGTGTCCTTCAGCAGGTCCTCCACGTCCTGGCCGTCCATGTTGGGCAGGCCGGTGACCATCGACTCGAAGCTGTCGGGCCAGTGGCCGGCCAGCAGCTCCGACAGCTCGTCCTTGCTGGCCGCCTCGGCCTCGTCGCCCGACATGTCGGCGTCGGCCGCCGCCAGCTCCGAGTCGGGGATGTCCTCCAGGTCGGCGTGCTTGGCCAGCTCGTCGCCGTCGTCGTTGAGGATGGTGTCGACCAGGTCGCCCTCCAGGTCGGCGCCCAGGCCCGGGAATATGTCGCCCAGCGCGTCGTCGGCGTCGTCGTCCGTCTGGAAAGAAGGACCACGGCTGAGCAGACGAACGAAAACATAGCTCCGCAGTGCCCAGCTGTGACTTGAGCTCTACTTCACTAGTGCCGACGTCACAGTTCGATAACTTTTTTTTTAAATCTTTGATGTTTTGGTTCAGTTGAACGGCTTATAAACTAACTACAACAGACCCCACCGCCAATATATTTCAAAATCCAGCCGAAATAGGACAGCAAATCATGGGGTGCTCCTTACATCGTACCGCAAGGCACTCGACCTGACCTAGATGGCTGCCAGGGGTCAGAGCTGAGCTCCACCCACCGCCGGGACCGGTACAGTTCTGAGCCCAGGGTATGTACCTCACCCCACAGGCGCACGGCCCATATCCTGACCCGGACGGTGGCTGCCAGGGGTCAGAGCTGAGCTCCACCCACCGCCGGGAGCGGTACAGTCCTGAGCCCAGGGTATGTACCTCACCCCGCAGGCGCACGGCCAACGGGAGGAGCTTCAGGTCCAACTGTCAAATGGCTGCACACCTTCAACGTAAGACCTTGTGTTGTGGTCACTGGACAAAACCACAAGATGCTTGTATTTAGAGCGGACTCTCCAGTGGACTGTACACGGGTCGGGTGTGGGTAACGCCCTGAACTGTATGCGACAGATGACGGCTGCAATGGCCAAACAAACCGGACCCGGCACAGTACACAGCGGCGTGAAGCGACGGCGGACATGGCCGAGGCTTTCTAATGCTGTTCGTCGAACTAACAGGCGGTTCGAAGGCAAACCTGGCACAGCTGACGCCCAAATACGAACACCTCGTGCCTCCGACAGCTGACAGATGCCTGGATCGCAGGAGCCTGGCCCAATCAGCGAAAAGTTCCAACGGATCGGAGCTTCACCACGGGATTAAAGAGGACGCTGACTTATGGTGAGACGGGGTGGGACTGATGACCCTCCCCCGACTACCGCACAGGTCCGGCCTGGTCCTTCTTCCCCAACCGCACGGCCGACCGTCAGCTGTCCAAATCGCAAACCTACAGCTGGTGGACACGAGCAACAGCACTCCACTGGTCCCACTGGTCCCACTCAACACGCACAACAGCACATGGTCCCACTCAGACATGCGGCTCAGCACTGGAGCCCAGGCCGGGCCGCTGTCAGCAGCACAGAGTGAGGCAACACGGCGCCGGAAGTCCGCCACCCATGACCGCCTGTGGTCGCGGCTTACCTCGTTCATCTTGTCTGACTTGGCGTCGGCGCCGGCGCCCGAGCCGGACGCCAGTTCCTTGGTGGCCGCGTCGCGCTCCTGCTGGCAGCGGCGCTCCTCCGTCTCCACGCGTTCCTGGGCCTCCCGCACAAGCTCCTTCTCCGCCTGCAGCGGCGCGCCGCGCGGCGTGAGACGGTCGGCAGAGCGAGACCCGCGCGAGCACCGACACAGAAACAGTCACGCAACGGTCAGTTGTGCTTACTGGCACTCACTTCTGTTTGTTATCACTAGCATTTGTCATGGGAGTCGGCACAAACTAACAATGCAACGTTGAGCGGAAGAGTCGTAGTTGCGATGGTCATGCCGTCATTTTCCCCCACATACCTTGGACAGCTGGACCGTGCAGAGTTCCTCCGGAGGCGCAATGTCGTCTTCATCCTCTTCGGGCGGGTTCGGCTCCTCTTTGTCTTCCTCTCCCTCCGGCGCCTTGGCGTCCTTTGAGCCATCCATCAGCTCTTTCCCGAAAAATGACTCCTACAACACATAAGGCAACATGATAGTCTCCATGCCCGGCAAGGCCGCACACAACATATTCCCACCGCTCACAAGAGGTTTGCTGTTACGCCTACGCAACGGTAACGAAGTCCGAGCCGCAGCTCGCTCCACAACCCCCAGCCCAGCCACCGCCCAGCAGAAGCTCGATCCGCCCCCAGCCCAGCCGCCACCCAGCAGCCTCACCTGCAAATAGAGTGGGTACGCCTCGATCAGCTTGTACTTCTTGTTCCTGCGCACGGCCTTCTTCTTGGGCTTGTCGCCGGGCACGGCGAAGTGCGTGGCGGATGTGTCGCCGGCCGAGACCGGTGTGTGGCTGTCGTCCGTGGGCGTCACAGGCGCGCCCGGCGTCAGCGGCGCCGCGCCGCCCTCGGCCGTCGCCGTGGCAGCCGCCAGCGCCGCCGCCGCCGCCGCCTGCGCCGCCTCCTGGCGCTCCTCCTCGTCCTTCATGTTCAGGATCTTGGGCCCGCGCGCCTTCACGTAGAACCCGCCGACGCCGATCTTCTGCATGTTGCGCGTGCGCTTCTTGCGGATGACGTAGTCGCCCGACTCGAGCCGGGAGATGCTGAAGCCGTCGGGCGGCTCCGGCGGCGCGCCGTCCTCGCGCGCCGGCAGCACCATGCCGTCCTTGAAGCAGGACGGCGCCGCCGACTCGGCCGGCCCGTCGGCCTCCTCAGACTCCTCGATCGACGTATCTGTGGCAGCGTGCCGGGCACGTCGGTCAGGTCGGTGCAATGGCGCCTGGCGCGCGATATCGCCCGCCGTCGCACCGCCACCGCTCACCACGCGTCCGGGTGCAGTTCGTGCTGTGGTGGGGGCAAAGTGTGTGCGCCAGCATGTCCCTCCGTCCACATCCATCCTATAACGAATAGAAACCATCGCGACAATATCCCTACCATTGCTGATCACAGGCATCAGAGCGGATTTCAGCTGTGCCTCCAAGCTCACCCAATGCAAAAACCAAACAGACACACCAAACGGTGCTAGACAAGGTCCGGCGGTGACTTGAAACGACAAGGGTGATGCACTCACTGCCCAGCACGCTATCAATGGCGGCCGATATTCCGCCGTCGCTCTTACAGTCGACGCGCTTCTTCTTCTTCTTGGCAGGCTCAATGGTGAGCCCCTGGATGACCTTGCAGCCCGTGTCCGAGACACACACGCCCTCCAGCACGAAGAAGTGTTTGGACGGCCGCCACTGTTCAGGCTCTGAAACGTCGCCGGGGTCACACTACTGCCGGCTGGTGCACCTCGCCGTCAGCCGCGTGGAGCGACGCCACCCTCGGGAGGCCTCCCGTCGCTCACAGCGCCCCCTGTGTCGACACGCAAGCGAGACACCTCCACTTCCCCCCCCCCCCCCCCCTCCACCGGCCCAACGCCTAGGACCAGACCACGGAAACGGACTCACCAGCACGCAGCGCACTGCGCCCCATCCCGTCACGACCGCAGGAGCTCGGAGACGCAGTGCACCAACCCGACAGAGCGCCGACCGGCGCAGGGGGACGGCCCGCCAAGGCGGCGCGGGAGCACCGCAGGCGAGCCGGCCGGCCGGACCGAGCTCGTGACCCGAACACGACGCACCCGACTACCCGCGCGAACAGTCGTCCATCCGGACCGCGCCCCGGCGCCCGTCAGCTGGCCAGCAGTGCCGCCGCCGTCGCAGCCGCCGGCGCCGCGCGCCCGGCCCGGCCGCCGCGTCCCACCTGGACTGTCGGGCTCCACGATGCTGGCGTCGACCGACGGCTGCATGTGCGGCGGCGGCTCGTCGGCCGGCCGGCAGCGCGCGCACATGTACCCCATGGTGGCGCACACCTCGGCGTCCTCCTCGCTGTGGATGAAGTCGTCGGCCGCGTGGCCCCACCTGGCGCCGGCGGCGGACGGTGGGTCAACGTGGGGTCGGGGTGTGACAGTGCTTGTGACGGGCAGCACACACGCCCAGCACCTCTGCACAACAGAACTGACACGCTTCTGTTCGCCGTGCGCCTACCCAGTGTTGTCAAGCACTCACAGTGCAGGAGACCAGGGCCTGCATTTGGAAGCACGTGTAGTAGCATCAGAAGTAGGACTAAGACTATAATTTGACACTCGCTTATCTTTGTGCACGCTCGCAACAGACCAGCGCACAGCAAAGCCCGCTCACGACACGGTGCTGGGTATCGGCAAACTTGTACCACACATGGCTTAAACCCAGCAAAACAGCGAACCATCACCGCCCGTTTCTCTGTGCAACACCAGCAAGAGACGGCCACGACTGGACGTCTGCCGAAGCGGCGCCGTGACTGGCGCCGGTGGGTGGGGGACAGGCCGGGCCGCGCACCTCTGGCAAACGGAGCACTGGATGATGAGCTGTCCCTCGGTGTAGGGGCCCTCGCAGGTGGCGCAGCGGGTCAGCGAGCCGCACGGTCCGCACATGCTGTAGTTGTCCAGCCAGGAGCAGCCGACGCCCGGGCTGTTGGAGCCGCAGTGGACGCACACGGCGCACCTGGCGATGCACGCCCACACCGCCTCAGCCAGCGACAGATGACGGGCGCACACACGACAGGGCTACACTGGGGCTGACCACAGCATCCGATGGAAGGAAGGGGCGACACCTGTATCGGAATCGGAATCAATTTAGAGTTATTGTCCACGGCACATCCGATACGTTCGACGCTGCACGGTTCATACCAATTCCAGCGCCTCGACCCAATGTTTTCCCACAAATCAGCAGCCGGTTCTACGCAGTTTTGCGCGTCTAAGCTGGCGGTGGTCGTTCCCCCGAGCTGAGCCCCGTCAGGCGGACTCCCTCACCACTGGCACTTCCAGCCGCCCTGCGGCACGTAGTCGAGCGGCGGCTTCAAGCAGTAGGTGTGGTAGGAGATGTCGCACTCGTCGCACAGGATCAGCCGGCTCTCGTCGTTCTTCTGGCCGCAGCCCTCGCAGACGGTGCAGTCGAGGCAGCGGAAGCCGCGCTCCAGCAGCACCTTCGACACCTGTGGGACGGACGGCGGCTGCGCGTGAGAGGCCACCGCGCTGACGTCCCGGCACGCGCCGCCCCCGCACCGGCACGTGGTGACGGCTCGCCAGCTCACCAGTTAGTCAGAGCAGCGAACTGGTAAGACAGCGTGACAAATCGCAGCTAGTGGAGTCTGGTCTGTCACATGCTACGCTGAAATAACGTCATCCGGAGATAAAAAGAGGGTGGGGTAAAAACTAAAAAATGACACGGCAAATGGGTGGGTTGGCAGATTCATACTTTCCATCAGCGTTGATAGCGCGTATGCCAGCCTGGACTGGGTATTACCTCAGCTGCCACAACCCGATTTAAATACGAGTATTGCTGCACCTCGCACTGTCGCGCTATGGCTGCAGCACGATTCTCTGGGTGGAAAGCCCAGTGACAGCCGCCGCAAAAGGCGTCAGAGCAGCAGCCGCTGACCGCATGCCGCACCCCGCAGCAGCACACCCGTGCGGTCTGTCCGTGGCGCCCGCGGCGGCCCATCCCTGCGTTCTGTCCGTGGCGCCCCTCAGTGGCCCGCCCCTGCGGTCTGTCCGTGGCGCCCGCGGCGGCCCACCCCTGCGGTCTGTCCGTGGCGCCCCTCAGCGGCCCACCCGTGCGGTCTGTCCGTGGCGCCCGCGGCGGCCCATCCCTGCGTTTTGTCCGTGGCGTCTCCCAGCGGCCCACCCTTGCGGTCTGTCCGTGGCACCCGCGGCGGCCCATCCCTGCGTTCTGTCCGTGGCGTCCCCCAGCGGCCCACCCCTGCGGTCTGTCCGTGGCGCCCGCGGCGGCCCACCCCTGCGGTCTGTCCGTGGCGCCCCTCAGCGGCCCACCCTTGCGGTCTGTCCGTGGCGCCCCTCAGCGGCCCATCCCTGCGGTCTGTCCGTGGCGCCCGCGGCGGCCCACCCCTGCGGTCTGTCCGTGGCGCCCGCGGCGGCCCACCCTTGCGGTCTGTCCGTGGCGCCCCTCAGCGGCCCACCCTTGCGGTCTGTCCGTGGCGCCCCTCAGCGGCCCACCCTTGCGGTCTGTCCGTGGCACCCGCGGCGGCCCATCCCTGCGATCTGTCCGTGGCGCCCCTCAGCGGCCCATCTTTGCGGTCTGTCCGCGGCACCTTCCGTCAACATCGCGCGAGCGTTTGGTCTGCCGCACTCCAGCGGGCACCTCGCCACCGAGCAGAACGCCAGCGCAGCTCACCTGCGCCGACCGGAAGCGCAGACCCGGGGCGGACTCAGCACCGGACACCGCGGCGCAACGGCCAACGCAAGGGCTACCACGCCACTGGGAATGTAAACCAGGCATACAAACAACGGCCAACGCAAGGGCTACCACGCCACTGGGAATGTAAACCAGGCATACAAACAACGGCCAACGCGAGGGCTACCACGCCACTGGGAATGTAAACCAGGCATACAAACAATGACAACGTGAAGCCGACCACCTCGACACCCCGGCCGAATTTGCATCGAAGACGACGGTAAGCTCATGACTGACAAAACTGGTAGCATGTGATCTCGTTCCAGACGAGTCGCAGGACTCGCGGCCTCGCATCCGAGGACGGTGGGCGTGCGTCAGCGGTGCTGACTGGTCCCGACACCGCACCGCCGTCCATGTCTGAACGAGCTCCGAGTCGCCGCTCGACCGAGCGGCCCACCAGCGCCCGGCTGTGGCGGCAGCAGATAAGCCAGCGGCATCACGCACGCACGCGCCACAAAAAGCGGCGTCCGCGACCTACACCAGCAGCGGCCACATCCGCTGTCGGCGGTGAGCCGTCCTATCTGAGCCCGCCCACATCTGAGGCGGCGCGGCCCAGTTCGGGTCCCTCCTCCACACTGGACGCCGGCTGAGTCACTGGTGGCTGTCCCGCCCGAAGCCGCGGTCCCCACTCCAGGGCCAGCCGTCCTGACCCGGGCCAGGGCCTTCGCTCTAAGACGCGACGTCCTGACCCGATTCGGGGCCTCAGAGGCCACCACCGGCGCCGTCTACCGGCGGGCGTCGGAGCCGCGAGCCATCACCGGCCGGCCAGACGTCCTGACCTGATTCGGGGCCTCAGAGGCCACCACCGGCGCCGTCCATCGGCGGGCGTCGGAGGCGCGAGCCATCACCGGCCGGCCAGACGTCCTGACCCGATTCGGGGCCTCAGAGGCCACCACCGGCGCCGTCTACCGGCGGGAGTCGGAGCCGCGAGCCATCACCGGCCGGACGTGACCGAAATACGACCCGGGAGACGGGCACAGACGGGTCGCAAAACAAAAAGGCAGACGCGCACATCTGAGCCGCGCCGTTCTCCGCGCCGGACGTGCCGCCCTCCTTTGGCCCAGCTGAGGGTGCCCGGGACGGCGGCCTCACCTTGACGTTGATGCAGTACGGGTGGTAGGCCTGGCCGCACTGCGAGCAGGCGATGACCCGTCCCTCCATGTCCTGACCGAACGAGCCGCACATGACGCACACGTCCTGCTGCAGCACGAACTCGTCCTTGGACGAGCACAGCACCATCTGGTTGTCCTCGTTCGGGTTGGTCTTGTAGTAGGAGCCGCCGCCGGCTGCGTGGCCCATCGGGTTCTCCGGACGCTGCGTAGGACCTCCGTCGTTAGACGGGCAGGCGAGGGGGGGGGGGACACAGGCATCACGACCAGAGGTGAGGCTGATGCATGCAGCAGCAGTCACTGATGCGTACATTGTGTATCTTTAATCACGTGTGGCTACTATGCAACCATGCACCCGGTCGCTGAATAAGGGCACGTGTAATAATTTCGACCGCATGCGGAGAGCGGGACGCGCCGCCACTGGAGCAGCAGCTTCTCCACCTCCACCAATGATGTCGAGTAACATCTCTTGTCACCCTCCACTGACCTGGAGTGACACGGCCGGCGCGCCGAACATGCCGCGAACCTTGGCCTTGTACGGCCGCTTCCTGTTCAGGTCGGGCAGCCGCTTCTTCTTCAGCACGTCGATTTTGGCCGGCTTGGCCGGCTTCACACCCAGCCTACCGCCGCTGCCGCTCTTGATACCTAGCTTTTTCTTGACGAGATGCATCGGTTTGCCTCCGCCCTTGGCCCGCGGCGCCACGTCATCCCCCTGTGGGGAGGGACGGTCGGTCAGACACGTCATCATGGCCGGCCTCGGCAGATGGTCCGCCGTCCAACTGCTGGTATCACACGCCACATAGCCCCTAATTATCCACCCAGACAGGTGGTCTGCCGCCCCCTGCCTGAGAACAGGGGACAGGTCACACACAGCCCGAGAAAAGCATGACCTCAGCACCCGCTTGTGTCGTGACCGCCGCCTATCCCCGCCAGACAACGGCAACACAGCGGGACGGGGCTCTCGGAAATCCCGCGCGCCAGCCGCCTCACAACAAACACTGAGCGCAGGGCTCCTCCAGCCGGCGGTGTCCTCAGATCACGCACGCGTCGGCCGCGGCCGCCTGTCGACCCCGCGCGGCACGGGTCACGGTCGGCGCCGGGCCGCCCAGATGTGCGCCGCCGCCGACCAGCCAGCCGGCCCACTGACGCCGGCTTTCCTGGCCGGCCGTAAGAAGGGCCACGGCCGGCACCGCACCCAACACTCGTGGCGCGTTCGGACTGAACCGGAGAGCGGCGGGCGCTGACGCCGCCCGAGCCCGGCCGCGGCGCTCGCGCGGGCTCCGACTCCGACCGAGGGTTCGCGCTCCGACGCCGTCTGCTCACGATGAGAGGCTCTGATCGCGCACAGCCGGACGGAGCGGGGGATGGGCCGACGTCGGCGCGACCGGCGCGGGACGAAGGCTGACACACCAACAATCGACCTTCCGCGCCCGAGCGACCCGCGCACATCACTGCCACGACGAATAACGCCCCGATCAGTCTCGTAAACAGCCGCAAAGGGCACTCCAATCATGAATCGAACGGTGCTGTATTTATGAAATGCCATGGGGTTGCGCTCATCAAGGCCTTATCGACCTCTCAGGCACAAGCGGTTGGTTTGGAGCCGCTACCGTCTAGACAAATGGCTCGGCCTTTACTTCAGGTATGCGTCAGCGGCGGCACAGCATCAGCACGCCGCGGGTGTACCACATGGCCAACCACAGCTCACAATGAGGCGTGTGCGGCCAAACCACCACAGTGCAGGTCACGACCGCGCGTCTGTGGCTCGCAGCAGCGCCCGCCACGTCACCCGTGCCATGCGGGGAGTGACGTGCGGGGAGTGAGGTGCAGCGAGTGACGTGCGGCGAGTGAGGTGCGGCGAGTGAGGTGCGGCGAATGAGGTGCGGCGGTGCCCACCCGCGGTCCGGCCGGCCGGCATATGACATTTGGCCCTCCTGCCGGCGAGCTGTCCCACAGAGCAGCGCGCTGGCCGCACGAGACCGGGCCAGTGCCCGCGGCCGCCGGCGCCACCGGCGCACCGTCCGCTCTCGCCCGCCGACCACACACAGGTGGGTGACGTCATCTGATGTGACGTCAGCACAAGACAACCCACAACAAACCGGCGGCCGCGCCATGGCCTTGCCCGGATCGGCTGATCGGTTCGGCACCCGTGACAGTAGCGTAACGACCGTGGTGCGGCAACGGTTTTCTAGGCGTTCCTGCTCGCCTTTCGGTCGCAGACGTTTTCACATTGACTCAAAGACGACAAAGTCCACGCAAATGAACGTCAGCAAAGCGCTTCTCGCAAAACATGATTAACGCAAAAAGGGACAGGGTGGAAAATAAAGGCATTCACACAGTGATCCAATCCGTGTGCATCATGCTAGTTCTGAAACTTGATGGTGGACTTGCATATTATGAGGGTGACCAGACAAGAGATGACAAGAACCATACTGTTTACCGAAGTGTCACTGTATAAACGCCAGAGGGGACACCTTGAGCTGAATGCCTTTGCCTTGCACGAAGCCTTAGCTGATTTGAAACCACGAAAGCTTAAATGAACGTCCTCAGGTCAGTCCTCACGACCTACGCAGAGTTAGCATAACGAGATGGCTAGCTTAATCCACCGCGACACATAGCGCCGCGGTATATTTCACCGCGGCGCGACACAAGCGAACAGTGACACGGCCCGCGATCCATTAAGTGAGTTGCTCAGTTACACACGCAGACAATATCACATTAACTGCGCGCAGAATAACGTCGTGGAATGATGGGCTTTGATGTCCTCTGCCGAATTACACGACGTCTAATAACGTCGTGTAATAGGCCTCCACGGACATCAACATTTCATAGGCTGAAGTTCATCAACGTCCTGCTCCTGTCACAGGCGATGGCGTGAGCGATGGTCCCAATTAGTGACAATATGGGCGCAGCATATGGAAAACCTTGAACGGGCCACGTTACCTTCTTCGAACGAGCAACATCAGGCTTGGCGTCGTCTATTTTATCTGCCGAGGCCCCAGCCGCGCCTGTTTTCACCGAGCTTCCGAGATCGTTCCCCGACTCTGCGGTCGGATCCTCCTCACCCGCCCCTTCCTCTGACTCAGCCCACATTGGGCGGAAAACACGCGGTCCCAGCCGACTACTTTCCGTCGGTCACGGTCGGGCGACGACGGTAATCTCACGACCTGGCCTAACCCGCTGCCGCACGTGACGGGCACCGCCGGCCAAGCGGGGCGGAGCGGCGCTGGCCCCACCGTCACACCGTCTCACCCGCGCCGCCGCCGCCGGCCACATCGGCCGACCCCCGGGCTGGCCGCCCAGAGCGCGGCCGGCCGCCTGACTCAGAGCGCGTTTGCGCGGCGGCGGATGCGGCGGTCGCGGCGCGCGCGTCACGTCACAACCGCGCCGCCGGCGGCGGACGGCGCGCGGCTATAAAGCGGCGTGCGTCGCCGCCGCCGGCAGAGTCGGGCCCCTCCGGCGAGCCGCCCCTGTACGCAGCATGGCACCCAGTCGAGAGGCGGCGGCGGCAGCGGGGGCACTGCTGCTGTTGACCGGAGCTGCGGCCGTCATCCAGATACCGCGCGATGTGGAGCTGCTGCCCGGCTTCACCATACCGCCGGGCGTGGTCCAGCCGCCCGACACCGAGGCGCCCAACTACGCCGGCCTCCCCCCAGGAGGACAACCCGTCGGGGTGCCACCTCCTGCAGGAGTGCCCCCCGGCGCGGACGTGCCGATGGAACCGGAGGCACTCCCTGGCGCGGGCATGCCTGGCATAGGAGTGCCACTGGATCCAGAACCAGTCTCAGGCGCGGGCATGCCTGGCGTAAGAGTGCCACTGGATCCAGAAGCACTCCCTGGCGTAGGAGTGCCATTTGATCCGGACGCACAGCTCGATGCAGGAGTGCCACCCAACGCGACAGCCTTCCCCGAGGACGGCACAATCTCCACGAATATCACGAACTACGAAGGCCAGTACTATACCATCTACGCCGACCAGAATACTCACCAAGAGGTAAGTGAACCGTACCTGCGCGTCCGGCCATATCGTGGCCGCCTTTTACGTTGAAAAAGTACAGTGGCAGTGCTCTTCGAATGGTGCATGCTATCTATCAAAAATAATGCGCCCTACTGAACCCAAAAATCTGTAACTTAGCCACAAGTAAACAGTCAATGACAGTTGACGGGTCCTCAAAACTCGATAACTTCCGCGACAGCCGCACTCAGTGTGTCATCCGGCGCCGGCAGATACGCACGCCGCTGGAGGAGCTGGCCACCAGCAGCCACAGCTGCGGCCGGGTGCGCGGCGTACCCGGCTCGGTGCGACGCCAGCTCGGCCTCTCTACCTTCTACCAGCGCTACACCGAGGCGTACGGCATCCCCGTGCTGTCGTCGACGCGCGTGCCGGACGCGGCGCTGCGGCGCGCCTGCTACATCGTCCGCTTCCTCTTCGCCGACCACGCGAATGTGCGCGACAGTTACCGGCAGCGGCGTGGCCGTGTGGCCGTCATCGGCCGCAGCGAGCGCACCACGCAGATTCCCGAGCACAGCAGCCTGGGTCCCAGCTGGGACCAGCGGTCGCGCGGCCTCGGCGCCACCGACGCCGCGCCCGTCTGCACCATCGGCGAGGAGAACCTGCTGCGCTACGGCTATCCCACTGACCGCTGGTACTCCGAGGACATCGGGCTGCACGAGTTCGCGCACGGCCTGCACCTGCTGGGCGCGCGGTACGCCTGGCCTGCGTGGGAGAGTCGGCTGCGCGCCGCCTACAGCGCCGCGCGCGCGCGCGGCCTCTGGGCCAGCACGTACGCCGCCACCAACCACATCGAGTACTTCGCCGAGGGCGTGCAGAAGTACCACAACGTGGAAGCGTACAGCCGGTACCCGAACGGCATCCACAACCACGTGGACACGCGCGAAAAGCTGGCCGCGTACGATCCGCAGCTGTACGCCGTGGTCAAGGAGATGTTCCCGTGCGGCAACCGCTACGTCAGCCGCCGCGAGAACGGCTTCCTGTCGGCCTCCGACGCCGCCCGACTCCAGCTGACCTACCCGGCCTGCAAGCTGGAGGGCAGCAGCGGCGGCGGCGGCGGCGGCGGCGGTCGAGAGAAGCCGACCACCGCGCGGCCTCGGCCCGAGCGGCCGACGTCGCCGACAGCGGCCACCACGGCGCGTCCCTGCCAGGACCGGCACTACTACTGCCCGTCGTGGTCGCGCTCCGGCTACTGCTACTCCAACGCGGCGTACATGGCGGCCAGCTGCCAGCGCTCGTGTGGCCTGTGCAGGACGTGCCGGGACCGGCACGCGCGCTGCCGCGAGTGGGCCGGACGCGGCGAGTGCGCCACGAACCCCGGCTACATGCTGTACAACTGCCGGCCCAGCTGTCGCGCCTGCTAGCGCGCGCCGCCGGTGTCTCGCGCCTTACTGGTGACCAACGGCGAGCCGCTCCTGGTCACGTGCGCCACTCATCCGCTACTACTCAGTACAATACACGTCATGGAACTGCTGTGTGGTGTTTCAGTAACAGAAGGCCACGAGTCTGGATCGATCACCTTCAGCCTCTGAGTGCGCTGCTCACCGTTAGCGGGGGGCATTCCACGTTAGGTGTTTCGTTAAAAGTGGGGCATCGGAACCAGAAGGCGTCAGCGCGTCCATGAAGACAAGGCATGTGTATACACATAACTGTGTCAGGGACTAGCGTGGAAAATGAGAATAGACCTAGTGAATTAAGCATTCTCACACTCATCGCCCCTAGACAGGGCACGCAGAAGGGAAGCAATTGTGCCTGACAAGGCAGGCAAAATTGCGTCCCTCACCATCCCCGTTCCCATACGCCCTCTAACGGAAGCCGGGCGTGTTTGGTTTGGGATCGCTTCGACAGGCGCGTCGCCTGAATGTACGGGCGGCGACCCACGCTGGACCAGCCCCGTACCCTGTAACATCAGGACCCTGCGGTACCATTTGGGTCACCAGGCGACCCACGCCGCCCGTAACGTCTCTCGGAGCTCTGTGGTGCTCTGTGTTCCTCCCCAGCGACGTTGGAGAATGGGGTTCCGGTAATGGCGAGGGGCACAGCTGGGAAGGCGGCAAGAAAACCGACTACGTCCTGCTCGGTCACAGCAATATTTGTTTGACGACATGGACGGCTCGGGTACCGGCGGCAGCATGATGAGTTCCGACTTTGTTCAAACCATTGCAACCATAATATAATGGATAGGCAGGACAAGTCAGCTATCCAAGCTGAGGCAGCCGTTCCAAGGCATGTAATCGGATTAACAGTGGCGGTTTCCGCGTACGCTTTTCGCTTCCCCAGAATGTTGGTTGGTGACGGAAAAGCTAGATCTGAACAAACATTTGTGTCATGTATCCACGACCGTTCAAGGGAGGTGCTATTACCAGAGCACATCTTGGCCTCGACTAACAAATAGGCGGACGCAGTGCCGTTTTGCAGCACAACCACGTGGGTTCGAATCCCATTTAAGGCGGCGCAATTCTCTGACAAGAAGGGAAGACCTGTATCGCCTGACATCGTGTCATGGTGTCATCCCCGGGGCGGAGTTGCTACGGTATTGAATGACACTTCGAAACTCCCTGTTGCTATTCGGTTATCAGGCCGGAGCGAAAGTTGCCTTTTAGTTCGGGCCAGTCACGTGGAGAAGTGCATCCCAGCAGCAAGTCGCCTGTGCTGAAAACGAATCGCACTACAACCTCGATGCACCATAAATCAGGCGAGACTACAACATGGCCAAGGGGCCAACACAAACATCTGCAAACGAGCCCGCCCTCCCGCTCTAGACCCCCACCACACCGATCGTCAGACGGGAGCCGGAGACAGCGCTCCGTCGCGGCAGGATACTCACGAAGTGGAAGGGCTCGCCGCCGGGCTGGGCCGACCCGGGCGTGGCGGGCACATCGCCGTGGCTGTCCAGCGAGCCGTCGTCGTGCGGGCGGCCGGAGCGCGCCGGCGCGCCGCCCGTCTGACACACCGAGCACACGTACTCGTAGTCGGGCGCCGCCTGGCGCCGCTGCTGCACCGCCGACGGGTCGGCCTCCGGGTCGCACGTGCTATGCACGTACCTGCGACCGGAGAGGACAAGGGGGGGGGGGGCGAGGTCAGCCGGTCCAAGGGTGCGCCCGACAAGGCACGCGCCACACTAGTCCACACCCGAGATACTGGTGACCGTCCACACGGCCCGCCCGGTACACCGGGCGCGGCGGACGCAGACGCAGGTCCCGGCGCACAGCCCCGGCGCGGGCCACTCCCTCTCACTTGACGGAGCGCGCCGCTGCCCCGACGGCAGACACCCCTCCGCCGCGGCCCCTCCCGGCCGGCGGCCACTCACCGTCGGCAGGCGCTGCACTGCTGCATGGTCTTCTGCGCGAAGTGGCGGTAGGCGCGGCCGCACACCGGGCAGCAGACGCCCTTGTTGCGCTGCTGGTAGCACGAGTCGCACACCGAGTACGTGTTGTGCCAGCGGCAGCTGATGCCGGCGCCGGGCGTGCGGGAGCCGCAGTCGGTGCAGACGCGGCAGTACTGCCGGACACCGGCCGACCACGGTCAGCGCGGGACACAGACGTGACGATCGTGTCGACAATGATCCTTAAGCAGGTAGCCAAGCGCGTCAAGCGCGAGCGAAAATCGCGGCTGTGGCACCATTCACGGGCTGCTGCCACCTGAATGGGTTCGACCACGATGCCACATGTGTCATCAAAGCTACAGTCTTCGACCAATGTGGAGGCATGCCACATAGTTGCTGGGGGTCGCGCAGGTCCCATGGCCACCCGGCGGCGGTTGGAGCCCTGCCGGCTGCCGCGGCACCACGTACCCGGCACTTCCAGCCGCTCTTTGGTATAGCGCCGAGCGTGGGCCGGACGCAGTAGATGTGGAAGGCCTTGTCGCAGCTGTCGCAGCAGAGCTGGCGGCCCTCCTCGCCCGGCTGCCTGCAGTGCTGACACACTTTGCAGCTGGGACACTGCCAGCCGGCCCGCACGTCTGCGCAGCGAGACAGCCGCCATCGGTCAGTCAAAGCGCCGACGACGCCGGCGCGGCGGACAGCTGGAGGGCGGCGACAGGACGACTGCCCGAGAGCGGCCGGCCAGTTACGCCGATCGGCTGGCAATGCTCAGTACTCACCACTGATACCAGCGTGGACAGGCAGGCCCGGACGACACCGACGCATGCACGGGACACCCACGCACGGACCACGACCCCACCGGCTAACGGGCCCGATTTGAGCCAAGACGGCGCGAATGCAAGCTCGCAAGACAAACACACCCGCGGACCAAGGCTCCACAGAGAGCCAATGACACCGCGCCGCCCCGAGACGGCGTGGGGGCGGTCGGCGGCGGCGGCACTGACTCGGACTCAGGGGCAGAGGCGGGGTGGTGCAGTCGGCGTGGAAGTGGTTGCCGCACGACGAGCAGAACAGCATCGACTCCAGCGCGCCCGAGTCGTCGCAGTTGATGCAGGCCTCCTCGCCGTCTGAAACGCAGCCCGCGGGACGTCAAAGTCGCCAGTCTTGGCCTCTCTCACACAATGCACGAATCATCCCGGATCATGGCAGCCAATGCGACAGTGACGCGGCAAAACGCGCTCAGCATTCGTTGTTGAATGCAGCTTGTAACTGTGACGACACCATGAACCAGTTTTAGACAACAGTGGCGTGCCGAAATCACCGATGTCGAGCTGCACCAAACACCATTCGACACCGCCGGCATTCCACACACACACCACACCGGAGAGGCAACCGGAGGCAGTACTGAGTGGTTACGAGCAGTCACAGGCGGCTCATTTCACAGCCCGACCTGCCCAGCCCAGTCGGTACGGAGTGAGATACTGTACGGCATGCGGAGGATGTCCGCAACTCACCGGCCGGAATGCGACTCAGGTGGGTGACACAGTACACCTGTTTGGTGTTCATGTTCTGGAAGGCGCCCGAGGCGGCGGCACACGGCAGGTGGAACACGGCCAGGCACTCGTCGACAGCGCAGTACACCGACGCGCCGAACCTGGCGCGGGACACGAAGCAGGTCAGCACGCGCCCGGCCCGGGCACACCGGCATCAGCCAGCGACACACTCAGGGACGGCCGGAGCAAGTCAACACGCGCTCTGCGTGTGGCCTCAAAACTGCAGACGCTCAACGCAAGTGATTCAGCAGGGCGATGTGCACGCTTGTACGACGCCCTGTCATGAGAGTTGCCCCTTCTCCGCCCCCGCCCCCCCCCCCGCGCCGCCCGTCAGGCTTCGGCAACTGGTGACAGCGCGCCGCGTGACGGACGGCGCTGGACGCGGCGCGCCTGCCACGGCTGAACAGACGACCGAGAGCCGGACCGCCGCCCCATCTGCCGACTGCAGCCAGCCGCGACGCCCGCCCGTCCTCCCGCTGCGGCCGGCCGGCACCTCTGGCAGAAGCTGCAGCGGACGGCCGCGGCGGCGCTGACGGCCCGCTCGGCGCCCTCCAGGCTGAGGCCGTCGTCGGGCGAGCGCACGCCGCGCGACCACAGCGCACAGCCGGCGTGCAGGTAGTAGTGGCCGGCCTCGTCCAGCAGCTGGTCGGCGCTCGGCTGGTGCACGTGGCCGACCAGCGTCAGCTCGTCGCACGGCTCGTCCCCCAGCGGACCGTCCTTGCGCGGCGAGCAGGCCACCTTCTCTCTGGGGGAGGGAGGGACGGCCGTGAGCCATGGACACCGGCCGGCGAGCACGCCACCTTCTCTCTGGGGGAGGGAGGGATGGTCGTGAGCCATGGACACCGGCCGGCGAGCAGGCCACCTTCCCTCTGGGGAGGGAGGGAGGGAAGGACGGCCGTGAGCCGTGGACACCGGCCGGCGAGCAGGCCACCGTCCCTCTGGGGGAGGGAGGGACGGCCGTGAGCCGTGGACACCGGCCGGCGAGCACGCCACCTTCCCTCTGAGGGAGGGAGGGACGGCCGTGAGCCGTGGACATCGGCCACGGAGCAGGACACCTTTCCTCTGGGGCAGGGAGGGACGGCCGTGAGACGAGGACACCGGCCGGCGAGCAGGCTTCCTTCCCTCTGGGGGAGGGAGGGACGGCCGTGAGCCGTGGACACCGGCCAGGGAGCAGGACACCTCTCTGAGGGAGAGAGGGAGAAAAGGACGGCCGTGAGCCATGGACACCAGCCGGCGAGCATGCCACCTTCCCTCTAGGGGAGGGAGGGACGGCCGTGAGCCGTGGACACCGGCCACGGAGCAGGACACCTCTCTGAGGGAGAGAGGGAGGGAAGGACGGCCGTGAGCCATGGACACCGGCCGGCGAGCAGGCTACCTTCCCTCTGGGGGAGAGAGGGACGGCCGTGAGCCGTGGACACCGGAAACGGAGCAGGACACCTTCCCTCTGGGGCAGGGAGGGACGGCCGTGAGACGTGGGCACCAGACCAGCAGTGCTGCATACATATGCAATGCATGCAATGGTTGGACGGAATGCCCGCCACGGTCAGCTCGAACGTGACCGACGGTTGGAAGGGAGGTGACTGCAGCTGAATGGATTGCGGACAATGGCCATATGTTAGGTGGTATGTGACTAACCAAGGGTTCAGTGGACTGTGACCCGCGGTGGGATGACGCTTGTGGGCAGTCAACATACACACACGAAAATACTGCGCCACCATCGAGTGCGGTCTGGCCTGTGTCAGCGGCCATTGCCGAGCCCTTTCGTCGCAGTCACAAACGGTTTACAAGCTTATTTTAATATTCAAATGTCATTAGAAGATTACAAACAAATGTACTTGAAAGCCCTGTTTGACGCCCTGTCATGCTAATTCGAGCCTTGACAGCTCTCAACACGCAACACTACGCGCATCTGGACACGAGCCCGACCACGGGCGTGGCAGCGTCACGCGTGTACGGAAGCTGGCCTACTTTTTGACGACGGTCTTGATCCTCCTGGCCGAGTCGGCGGCGGCCGGGTCGGTGGCGGCCGCGTCGCCGCCGGCGCCGGCCGTGCCCGGCACGCACCGCATGTCGCCCTGGCCCAGGATGCTGCGCTCGCCCAGGTTGCACAGGGCGCACACCTTGCCCGGCCTGGCGGAGCGCGCACGGAGTGGGTGTGAGCGTACGCCGGACATCTGGCCGCTCTCCAGGCGGGCGTGGTGTGTCTGCGGTGTGGCTGTTTTGCTGTTGATTTCAGTGGATTCAGTTCTGGCAGCTCGCTCAGTAAATATTGGAGCTTGAGGCAGGTTAATCGCAGTCACAGAACCTATCTTCACGACACAACTCGTGCCATTTTACATGCCAGAATTCAAGAAGACTTGCTTTAAAACCTATATACAGCACACTTTAATACCTATATACAGCACAGCCATTTTACTTAAGATGATGTCCGGCCAAATTGTGATCGCAACGAGCACACAAGTGTCTCTTGCCCTGCCACCCTCCCTTCAACAGCAGGTACTAGCTACAGTCCAATTTCCCACCCTGCCCGCCGTGACCACGGATGCCGAGCTCCCCTGCGGCCGGCCCGTGCCGCGCCGACTGACCAGCGCTCCTGGAACACGAGCGACTCGTCGAGGCTGGCCGAGCGGTCCAGCGAGCTCTGCACCGAGCTGGTGTCCGAGCAGTCGTCCTCGGCGTCGCGCGAGTTGTCGCCCCACGGGTCGGCCACCGAGCCCGGCAGCGGCGACGGCAGGTCAGACTTGCGTCGGCCGCGCGGCCCTCGCGGCACGCCGCGCACGTACGTGCCGCTGTCGACGAGGCTCTGTCAGACGCCAGCACGGCCCACCACGCGGAGCGGCGCGGTGGGAGGCCGGGCGACAGGCGGAGAGGCGTGAGCGTCCGCCACGCGCCCCGTCCAGATCTGACGGGCAGTCTCAGTATCCGCCCCCACATGCACCGGCCACTTGGAGACGGTGTAAACCATCTCACACAGACCATCAGCCATCGCCGACAAGACGCAACACAAGCCCACCACGCGCCTGACAAGACCGAGCAGCGCGGCTGACCAGCGAGGTCAGCCCTGCCGGCGGCGGCCGGTGCCGCCAGCCCACCTGCTCAGTCGCTTCAGCTTCAGTCCGATGGTCCGGCGCTGGTCGACCGGACTGACGGTGTCCTTGCGCGGCCGGCCGGGGCCGCGCCGCAGCGCGCCCGGCGACAGATGGCCCACCGGCTGGTGGAACGGGTCACCCTCGTCGCCGGCGGGCGTGGTCGACGCCGAGTCTGCGGGCGCGGCGACGGAGGCGTCATGCGCACGGACACGCCGGCTGAGGCGTTTTGGGCGTGGCGCCGAGCACAGCGTCGGTTCGGGCTGGGGTGCCGCGCTCGGCCACCGTGAAATGTTTAAGTTTGAGAATGGCCATCTAGGGAGGTTAGAGGCCTACACGGAAAGGAACGTTGAATTGCACGAGAAACATTTTCAAAACCTTGAAAACTTCGCTAAATCTGACGTACCGATTCCTCCACAAACAAACCCTAATGCACATATTGAAACATGTGCATTAGGGCTATGTGACGCCCCAAAACCAAGGGAGTAGGGTGTTCCAGCATTAGCCTTGCCCATATGTGGTGAGACAACCAAAACGCCACCTGGATCCATGCACAGCAGCCTCTGCCAACAACAAAAGCCTCTGGTCCACCGGGCCCGGCCGGACCGGCGCGCCCGTCCCAAGCGCCAGCCGGCTCCGGCGCCGGCCATCACCGGCGGCGACCGGCGCGCCGAGCCCGGCACGCACCTAGCTCGGAGGCGGCGGCGTCTGGGATAGCGACACTGATGGCCAGCATGTCGCCGGGCGGCCGGGCCCGGTCCGCGCCACCGCCGCTGCCGCCGCCCGCCGCCGCCGCCGCCGCCGACTGGTCCTCTGACATCCTGCCGACACAGCCTGGCATGGTCAGCTGATGCTTCACCCTTGGGACTATTGCTTACACTGACACACAGTTTACTGAGCAGCAAGTAGCACATTCCCCTAAAGTTATGCTGTGATGTTTTCAAGACATTGCATGCAAACTATTTGGTCAATCAGGATGTTCTTGTAACATTGTTATATTACCACAGTCTCACCATTTAGCTCTCATTAAAATGGGGATGTAAAATCTATGATGTACAAAGAAACCAAGGAACACACATCAGAAATAGGCCCAGATCTTGACCACCTGGCACCAGAATGACACAGTGCTGGCACATTTTCTACTGATGGACAGACAGGCAGTCTCAAGGACCAACAAGTGCTCTCAGAACTTTGTAACCATAGCTGCTAAAGATGTGAAACCAGGCATATGGTGCACAAAAATATGCTATCTACACAACACTAACAAAAATAATCACTTCTGACTCTTATCACCTAGCCACCAGGTCAAGTGAGGCATATTTCACCACTTGTGTGGAGGTTACTGCTATAAGTATGGGGAATTACACAGACAGTCAGTAAGCCCATTAAAACATTGAACTCTCCGACATAATTACCTTAGCACATATCTCCATATGAGCTAGCATATGTCCAGTGACAATTTGAGCCTGCTGTAAGTTCAGGTAGCAGCCTGCCTCATTTAGGGCAGCATGTAAAAGACCTTTCGCAAGCAAGTGTGCGGAAAGAAAATGTCAAATTTGGCAACCACCTGTTACTCATATGAAACAGAAAACAGGTGACTCAGCTGATTTTAAGTGCAGAAACTTTGCATGGGGCATAGGACCTTTCACTTCTAGTTATCAAGCTTAGTATTAGCCCCATAGAGATAAATGAAGAGTCTCTTCAAAAAAAGGCTGATCTGACCATTTCACTTCTTGAGATGTTCCTAGCATAGCCCTGTGGCTGACTTAATTGGGAGGGTTTGTCACAGAGCCTTACAAAAACTTCAGGCAAAGGTCAGTACAAAAAGCAATGCTCACTTTGGTGTACAAGTATGCAGGTAAGTGTGGATTACATGAATTGATGCTGGAAGGAAGTGAATAATGAGATGTAATTGAAGGATGCATCTTTGATCTAAAAAAGTATGCTGCAAAATATGTTAATGGATCCAATATATCCAAACATGCCATGGTAGTTAACAAAAGAGTTCTGGACCAGTACAAATGATGTCATTTCTCAAAATTTTTGGCATGACACAGTTACTTCTACGCTCTCCAATCACCTTATGTCCTATCCAGTACCGACCATGTGATGTTGTCTTTTGCCATGATGTTCCACAATTATTCATGGAAACATGAGGAGACATGATGTATCCCAACCACACCCAGGTCTCATCCTATCTTTGGGACAGCTGTTACTCCATGGCACATCAACACAGCATTACAAGTTGGCAGAAAGCAGTTGCATGTTCAAATAGCAACCCCTTCAAATTCAATGCACCCTACCATCCTTAGCAATTGATTACACATACTGATTTGTGCATGAATGCCTAGACAATCAAACATTGGAGGTACCCACGTAATAATGAATAGCTCAAAAACATGTAATGTTGTTCAACTTTGTGGAAGAAATCTGGTATCTTGCAGTGTGCTACTCCAGGTGTTCAATGAACATTTTTGAGTTGTGCTACCAATCTTATTACAAAACCTCGCACATGATTGTGAAAGACAAGCACATTCTAATATGTCCAATGATGTCATGATCATGCTGAACCTCTGGCACTGGCATTGCACTTCATGAGATAATCAACCCTTCTATGCAGCTCTATACTAGCCTTTCAAATCATATTTGGCCTTATATCACCAAGGTCTTCCAGGTTAAAGCTGATACTTTGAGACTTAATATCCCTATAGAGGCATTAACACAATAGACTTGGTAGTTAACAAAATGTAGGCATCTGCTGATTGGGCATGGTGACCAAGCAGCCTCTGGGTCCTCCTCATTATTTGGGCTTCACAATCCACAGAGCTGCTGAGACTATACTGTGTTGCCTTCCTCTCACCCTAGCAGGAAGTGCAGGCACCTCGGGAAATGGGGAATCAAACCTGGGAAATAGAAGAATTTGGAAACCAAACCCACTAGATTGTTCCTCCTGAAAAACTGGGTCCAGAAGCGAGACATCAGTTATTTTCTGCGAGGCTCAACTTCCTGACCCACCTTTGATGTCCTACAAATGTTCCAACATGCAAACTTTGGCAGTGATGTTGACAAGATGTGTGGGGCAGTTGGAATCCTTCCCTACATGAGGAAAAATTTTTGACTTGGAACAGAGATGCCAAAATATAGGATATCACTGGAATCATTATCCCAAGGCTGCAATATATTGAACCACAAAGCAGCAGGGGCTATCCATTTCATCAAAGTCACAACCAGACTTCTAAAATATGGGATCAGATTAATTGAACAAGAGCTTGAACATACTGAAATCAACATGCCAAGCTATCTTCAAATTCCTGATCACCATAAGCCATAGTAAGGTGAGGTCAGATAAGACACTGTAATGCAATACTATGCTTCATGATCAGTGCATAAGCAGTGCATGCATATGTAAGGGAGCATGCAAATATAAGGCATCTGGGTTATAGCACTCTATCATTGTAATCCTCTAAGGCCTAACTTGAGGACTAAAACAGAACACACACAATTTGGTGGGCCATAATTCAGATCCCATCAAAATTGCTAATATCACTTGCTGACTGAAAGGCACAGAGCCTACGAAATTTGCTTCTAGGGTTGAATGGGAATAGTCAAACCTTGAATAGGAAACTGCTCACGTGACACCACCATTAATATATTTTCAGAGGCATACCTTTGGACTCCACTATCACTGGAGTAAGAGAGCTTGATCAGTCAGCATATTTACTTGCACCTGTGCTTGGAACTGACAAACCCGCGACAGTTCACTGAGCAGTAGCATTGCTCAGAGCTGAACCCCCATCGCCTGCAGCACTTGCAGTGCAGTCAACACAACAAAACCATCATATCGCAAACTACAACCTCAATCGGTAGCATTCCAACACTTTTACGTGATCTCACAACAAAGGTGCTATTGAGGCGCAGCGTCGCGCATCCTTCGTCTTCGATCAATTACTCAATCCAAGGCTGGTAAAATCACGAAGCCCACTTAAATCCGTCAGCTGAGCACTCCCAACCATGCGGATGGCTCTAAGAATTATGAGTCTAACTTACTTATTTTAATTAACTGTTGAAGTCCGTAAAATTGCGAAGAAAATGTAATTTGCATCTGAATTTCCATTGTGTAAGATTTTGATGGGTATCTAAGACTATGCGGCTATGGTTTTCCAACATTTTACTCGAATGAGCTACGTATGGATAAAAAGTGTAATTTGCCAGGTAGTACTTAAGTCCAAAAGTTTGAGAATAAGTGGAACTGATATTGAAGCTGTATTTTTCCTTTTTTAATCGTATGTTGCAAAAATATTTTCCTACCCCTTACCCCCGCCCCCCCCCCCCCATTCCCATCCCCCTCAAGCTCTCCTGCAGCGCTATGCCCTTCTTGTCAAGGCCAGAGGGTGGTCGGTGGAGGTCGTGTCGGAGCCGATTGCCGAGGGGTTCTGGGGTGAGTGTGTGAGGGTTGGCATCGAGCGGTTAGTGGGGGTATCAGCGGTGTCTTTCTTCCTTTGCGTTGCATTCCACGCTGCTCCGTTTAGTGTGGTAGATCCTGTCCCACTTGTCCTGCTTGCCATGATAGCTGCATGTTTTATGATGTTCCAAGGGGTGCATTTGTGTTTCAAAGGCATCATATCAATGGAGTATCACACTGCTGTCCGAAGTAATTTACAGTAATATGAGTTCAGTGGAATTTTTGGCACTAGAAGTATTGCGCAGTGTGTGAACTTACATCTATTTTTGCTGTCCCAAGGACTGATTCGTGGTATTGCCATACAATTCCTCACACATCACAATTTTTGACATACAGGTGTCAAATGTCATAGAAATCAGTCAATATGATAGTTAAAATGGATGAACCTTTGAAATTCTAATATGTTGACACTCACAGGCAAAGGGGTAGCAGTATGTAAAAGTAATAGCTGCAGTATATTTTATTTCTACTGGTACTGCAATGGCCTGTGCAGATATTGCTCACTGCCTGCCTTTGGTTATAACAAATGTGATTGACCAAAAGTTGAAATGCCCAGTGGTTCAGGTCTGCCATCCTATTCACTTGGCCTGGGTCCTCCAGGTCAATCCATGATTGGCCCAGGCTGGGATGGTTGTAACTCCTGTTCAGTCCATATCTCATAAGAAAAATATGCTGAGAGTAGTAACATAAAAGCACATTAAAAATCAATTTTTTTCCAGCATGACTGTTGTTATGTGCCAATCAATCTGATTTCATTAGCTCCATGGGTAATGCCAAGTCTGAAAATAATCATGACCAACAGTGCATGGCTTCACAAAGCCATGTGATGTGAAGCTGTTTAGTTTTATGGCACAGTTTATACCAAATCAACATTTCTTAGTTTTCCACATATGAATTTAGTCTCACTAGCTCTAGTGCTTTGGAGAAACCCCTGGTCAAACTTGCTTGCTGGATCAGAAGTCAGGCTACCAACAAACTGAGCTGTGAGGGCAGAGAAACCAAACTCACAGGACAGGTATAATCTCCTTCTTCCCTGTGTTACTTATGAAATGGTGCTTCAAGATGGATCTGCACACCCATTACATGATGGCATGAACATTTTTCATAGGAAACTCTGAATTTTCCAGGACTTGTTTCAGATCTAAGGGGAAGGCTTTTGCCCAGTTTCCTATGCTCCAGCATGGCAGATGATGACCATGCTTCTGGAAAGGGACCTTGTGCATTCTCATTCAAGAAAGGAAAGCAGAAATTCAGAGCCAGGAAGAGGCAGGCATCAGATGAGCACAGTAAGTTAAAATCCTTATTCTTGAAACCAAATGTCCCCCCCCCCCCATTTCCTTTATCACAAAATGCAGCATTTTAAGCACTGTTATCATCCAGTTTAGCTCATTATGGATGCATCACAATGCACATCTGCTACCTTATTACAAGTGATGATTTTTTAGGACACCAGGGAAGGTGTAAAAGGGGTGATATTGTCACAGTATCACATTGTTCATGCTATCTCAGCAGACTGTGAAGTCCCTTGACTGGAAATGATTTGCCATGATTCCTATCTTCTGAAACAGTGCAAAGATTTAGTAAAAAACAGTATAGTTTATTACTGAATAGCTTTTTAATGTATCCATGTCTATCACAATATTGTGGCATGTTGAGTGGCCACCTTATGAGGTCTGTCCTCAATATCTCTCAAAAGTTAAGGCTGCTCCCAGTTTTGGCAAATGGGCAATTTTTCTGATGTTATAATACACTCCAGATGGATAATTACTTCAAGTTGCATTGTCATTTGTCCCTGATGCATTTGGATCTGTGAAACCAAATGTCACTGAGAATGTGCTTGCCATGCTTGAGGGCTGTGAAGTAGAATATGTGCCTGTGTTTTGGCACATCTCTAGAGAACCTTATTTACATGTTTGGCATCTGGTACACCAGAATTTGGATACATGATTCATGTCATGTTTATCTGGTGGGCATACAGTGTCCAAATATGTTAACTGGCATCTGTTTTTACAGGCAGTGATGACGATACAAAGGTTTTGAAAATTGAGAAGAAGACTGCTAGAAATCCGATGTTTCAGACGGTGGGTGAAATATTTTGAAAGGTTTTGTTTATTTAGATGCTTGGTAGTACAGACTTAATAAAGTTTGCATGGATTTCCTTAAGATATAAATGTTTTGATTTAATGGGTTTAAGCATGGAAACGCTGGGTGAAAGACCATCCATGCTATAAAATGATGGCAAGTATAATATCTGAAAAGATCATGTTTGTTTTCCCCTCTGATTGGGCTAGAGGTACAGAGTGAAGACAGACATGCTGCTTATCATGAGAAGGGCCTATCCATAGTTCAGGTTAATGTTTTGAAACTTAAGAAATGACCTTAACATGATTTTGCAACCATACCTTAGTGTAACATAGAGCTTTTCAACACTTCCCCTTTTATGCATCAGTTATACTTCATAAAAATCCTCCCCCCCCCCCCTTGCATAATGTAAGGTATGGACAGTCCCTGATGGGTTCATGTTTGTGGAGCTTTTTGCATTCAGGCCATTATATTGGTCTTAGAAATGACCTCTGTTTTTGAAGTGTCCCCAGATCCAGAAACCTGTATCTTTCAGGTCATCACAATGTAGTGCATGGTTATGGAGAAAAAGATAAAGTTACTTTTTAGGCAAACTGGGGTTACAAAGATCTGCAGGCAATGAACCATGCTGTAGTTACACATCTGTGAGGCCCTGGGCTGTGCCACATTATTGGTTTTCCTGTCATGTTTAAAGGAGACCGATTTTGCCAGAATGCATTTGATGTTAATTGTTTAGGTTGTTAATGGTCTTAGCAACAGGCAGGTTTTGCAGATGCCGTTACGTACCTCTGCATCAGATTAAATTTTTAGTTGAATTGTAGCTATTGAAGTAGGCACTGAAGTTTCCGCGAGGCAGTCGGTTTAACGCTGCGTCATTTTGTCATATTTTCAGTCCAAAACTGCGAAGGCCGCCGGGACACCGAGGGGTGAGGTGGACAATGCCTCTTCAAGTGATGAGGACAAGGTGGGAGTATCCTATAGGTAGGTGTTCTCTTACAGCATACGGTTGGCCGCGAGGGTAGTTGGTTAAGTTTTTAAATTAGTGTCTTGCATTTAACTAAATGTGTATGTGTGCTTGCATGTCATCCAGTCCTTACCCAGATTGTGGTTCATCCATTAGTCATGCCACGCTATTTTTCAAGTATCACCACAGCAAGCACGTACGTTTTTCACCCTATGATGCGGCCTCTGTAGGCTGCGTATCACGCTAGTCGTGACCCGTGCGGGCGGGTCGTGTCGTCCCGTGCCGTGCCATACCATACCGGCCGTGCCACGCCGTGTTGTGCTGTGCTGCGCTTTGTCATGTTCTTCCGTGTTGTACTGTACCGTACCGTGCTGTCACACCCGACGTTCGCCATGGCAGTGCGTGCGCGTGCATCTGTGCGCCGTTTTGCGGTCAGGTCGAAGCGGACGGCGGCGCGCGAGGGCCCGCATGACATGGGCGCCACGGCCACGGTCGAGATCGACACGGAGCGCGACCGCGACGACCAGGCCATCTTCGAGCGCGCCATGGCCGTCAACAAGGTAGGCTGATCAACAGGGTCGACGAGCGGCCGGGGCTGGGCCCCCGGGCACCTGGCGTTAGGCGACGGGGTGCGGCTGCGGAGCCAGACCTGGGGTGGCGTCGTGACAGCTTTTTTGCAGAGCGCAGTGCCAGGTGTGATGTGGTCAATATGGAGCCTTTTCATGCGGACGATGTGTGAGTTTCTTACTCTCAAGACTAAGTTTTGGTTTTTGTGAACCGACGGGTGTCAAGTTTGTACTGCAATGCCTTGAATCGATGACATTAATGCCAGCTGTGCTGAAAACCAGTGTATTCAGCAGCGAATTTTTCAACTGGGCCCTTACCATGTTGCCATTAGCACCCATTTACTGTTCTACCCGGAAGCCTAGCTGGCCTGATAGTCCAGCTACATGTGATGCCCGCGGCCGATGTTCTGTTCCTCCGCTGACGCCGCCCGCGCCGCCAGGAACTGGAGGGCAAGGCGGACGACAAGGTGTACCGGGGCCAGGCGAACTACGCCCAGTACATCTCCAAGCGCGACACGCCGCAGGGCAACGCGAGCAGCGGCGGCGTGCGGCACGGCCCCATCCGCGCGCCCTCCAACATCCGATCCACCGTTCGCTGGGACTACGCGCCCGACATCTGCAAGGACTTCAAGGAGACGGGCTTCTGCGGCTTCGGAGGTGGGTGCTATGGCCTCGTGACGTTCTGGTTCCATGGCGGCTGCTGGGGTTCGAGACCGGCTTCTGCGGCTTCGGAGGTGGGTGCTATGGCCTCTTGACGTTCTGGTTCCACGGCGGCTGCTGGGGGTTCGGAACCGGCTTCTGCGGCTTCGGAGGCGGGTGCTATGGCCTCTTGACGTTCTGGTTCCACGGCGGCTGCAGGGGGTTCGGGACCGGCTTCTGCGGCTTTAGAGGTGGGTGCTTTGGCCTCTTGACATTCTGGTTCCACGGCGGCTGCAGGGGGTTCGGGACCGGCTTCTTCGGCTTCGGAGGTGGGTGCTATGGCCTCCTGACGTTCTGGTTCCACGGCGGCTGCTGGGGGTTCGGGACCGGCTTCTGCGGCTTTAGAGGTGAGCGTCATGACCTCCTGACGCGGCCGGTTGCGCGGCAAACGCTGGTGGATTGCGCGAGGCCAGTAATGTCCACCGCGCTGCGGCACCTGTGTGCGTTAAAACATTCTGGGAGTGGCACCTGTGGTAGTTGTTATCGCCAGGCGTTTGTGGCCACTTGTGACGTCGCCTTGAGACCCGCTCGCACTGCTGATGTCGTGATCGGCGACCGTCGCAGCGGTCTGTGCCGGTCAAACCGGGGAGCCACAGCCCAGTGCTCGAACTTAATTGTACAGTGACACCATTCTAGGAATAATGCTAAATCAGTCAGAATCAGCAGATCTTCGGTTAGCTTTTTCCGAGGTACGCACTACTCGTGCCGAAGCTTACGAAAACTTTAGGAGTAACCACTTGGACCTATTCAGCATCAGAGCCTAAAGCTGTTGGACCCAAGAGCTGGTAGTCAGACGGTGCGTGTAACGCCGCGCAGTAACGAATCCAGATAGTTGTAATCCAATTTCATTGCACTTCTCACTTACTATCGTCTGCAAATTTTCGTCACAGCCGGATTGCTTTGCTTTGCTTTGCTGTTTGCATTGGCAGGGCCCACGTGTCTCTCCACTGGCATGTCCATGCCTGTTACACTTGCGGACTATTGGAACCAGACCCAGCACGTTCCGGGTCGGCCGACGGTCACGGCCACGGCGCGGCGCCAGCGGCCGGCCACGGCGCGGCGCCAGCGGGCCGGCCACGGCGCGGCGCCAGCAGGCCGGCCACGCCGCGGCGCCAGTAGGCCGGCTACTGCGCGGCGCCAGCAGGCCGGCCACGCCGCGGCGCCAGTGAGCCGGCCACGGCGCGGCGCCAGTAGGTCGGCCACACTGCGGCGCCGGTGGGCCGGCTACTGCGCGGCGCCAGCAGGCCGGCCACGCCGCGGCGCCAGTAGGCCGGCTACTGCGCGGCGCCAGCAGGCCGGCCACGCCGCGGCGCCAGTAGGCCGGCCACACCGCGGCGCCAGCGGGCCGGCCACGGCGCGGCGCCAGCAGGCCGGCCACGCCGCGACGCCAGTAGGTCGGCCACACCGCGGCGCCAGTAGGCCGGCTACTGCGCGGCGCCAGCAGGCCGGCCACGCCGCGGCGCCAGTAGGTCGGCCACACCGCGGCGCCAGCAGGCCGGCCACGCCGCGGCGCCAGTGGGCCGGCTACTGTGCGGCGGCAGCAGTACCACTGGCCGGCTACCACTGGCGCCGGCCACGCCGCGGCGCCAGTGGCCGGCCTTTGCGCCCAGCGGGCCCTGTGCCGCCAACGAGGTGTTGATTTATGGATTTGCTTCACTCTAGTTTTGAGCGCGTACTTATCCGCAAGTTGAAGGGTTTCGGTTCACGTTAGAGATTCTTGATGACCACCATCTTGGAGGGCCTGGGGCCTGGGGGGGGGGGGGGGCGTTATCCATGGAGCCATGGGGCCGATGGGGCCCTCAGGGACGAGCCCAGCACGCGCCGGTCAGGCCTGGCGGCGGCGGCCCGCTCGTCGCTGCCGACGGCTGACCATCGCCCGTTGTGGGCATAAGTGTTATGCCCGAGGGCTCATCGCTACTGTTTGGATTTCGGGCGGGCCCTTGGAGTGAGTGGTTCGCTTCACTCCTCCTCTGGCGCCCGCGCAGGTATAATGTGGAAAATGAGTCCCGGCTGGTCGCCAGTTGCACTCCTCCACTGAAGCCCGTGCAGGTATTATGTGATAGATGAGTGCCGGCTGGTCGCCAGTCGCACTCCTCCACTGAAGCCCGTGCAGGTATTATGTGATAGATGAGTGCCGGCTGGTCGCCAGTTGTATTCCTCCACCGACGTCCGTGCAGGTTTTATGTGATAGATGAGTGCCGGCTGGTCGCCAGTCACACTCCTCCACTGAAGCCCGTGCAGGCATTATGTGATAGATGAGTGCCGGCTGGTCGCCAGTTGCACTCCTCCACCGACGCCCGTGCAGGTTTTATGTGATAGATGAGTGCCGGTTCCGGCACGTCCCTTTCATGTGACGGGGATCGCGATTATATCGCATAGCGTAGCTCAGAATAGCCTCATTCTGAATTCATGGTATGCCATTTCGCACGACAAGCGATTGCCAAGCGCCACCGTTAATAGATTCATCGCTGCTATCCGTTGCCACAGATGCTGAACGAACTAGTCGCGTTAATTTTAACATCGTTCGAAAGGTGTTGAGAGAACCATATCATGACATCGTGAGCGCCAACAGCTCTGTCACGCTAGTGAACCTGACTCGAGCATTTAAGTGACTCACCGCAAAGCCGTTTGTCTGATGTCGAGATCTGCGTTCGGCCTGTTTAAATGGACAGACATGGCCACTGTTGGCGTTGTTGCATCACTTGTCACATGTGGTAGCGACTGCAAGTGGTCGTGAAACTGTTTATGAAGGCATGTAGTTAAATCAATGACAATCGAAATTCACTTTGGAGATGTGCTTGTGATATGCTTGCACCAGATGATAGAGCTATGAATCGGGTGTGCGAGATGCCGTGTGTTGTTACGTCTGTTTGAATTAAGTTTCCATTGGCATTCAGCCGTCCAATGACTTTCGATTTCGATATGTCTAGTGAAAAAGGAAACCAACGACCGAAGTTGTTTCGACTTTATGGATGTCTGGGTGCTGTTAACTTACGGATATTGCCGGTGGGTAAAACAGTACAGTAAAGCAAATCAGTACCGCGGACGAGTGTGGTTTCTGGCGTGTGATTTGACGTCCCCCCAAAAAAATTTCGGGTTGTGAGACAAAAGGTGTCACTTTCCGATGTTTTCCAAGTTTTCCAAGTTTTCGTAACTGTTATTACGCTGCAATTTTCACACGTTTTGACTTTCGCGTGGGTGAATTGGAGGTAGTACCATCGGCTTGCAGTGCCGTATTTGATTCCATTAAGGCAAAATAGTTTGCAATCGAATTGTAACGGACAGAGCGAATGGCAGTTGAAATAAATGACGTCAGGAATAGATCCCCAACGGTCCACGTATGGAGCATGTAAATCCGGAACAGCTCCAAGTTGGCCAGGATTTCTGTAATTGGCTGTGACACGTGCCGCTGCCTCGCATCAGGGACGATTAGTGACGCAGCGCGACGTTGAGCGTCGTGGTCCGAAGAACAAGTCCTACGCATCTGCAGACGGCATTTCTGTGTCAATTGACCCATTATTTTAGCTGTGGAGATCATTTGTGTTCGTTGATCCTGTCCTAATGCTCGTTATCATTCAAAGGAGACTGTTTACTCTGGCAACAATGTTTTATGATAACGTAATGAAGCAGATGTTCCTCACCGCGTGATGCCCGCACCACGTATGACAGTGATGCACCATTGCCATCCTTGGCGACAGGCCCCGCCCTGAGGGCGTGTTCAGGTCGGTTGGGACTACTCACTACAAGCAGCGACATTTCCCAGACTCCTGCATCTTCATGCACGACCGCACCGACTACAAGTTTGGCTGGCAGCTGGAGCGGGAGATGGACAACAACACGTACGGCGCCAGCAACGACGAGAACTACGAGATCAGCGACGATGAGGACAACCTGCCGTTTCGCTGCTTCATATGTCGCGAGTCTTTCAAAGAGCCGGTCGTCACGAAGTGAGTGTCCCTGGCGCGTATGATGGGATGCCCTCGCAAAATGGACTGTGGGGAGGGGAGGGGGTAGTTTGAATCATGGATATTAGAAAGCGTTATCCTTGAAGGGATTATTCGCTTGTATTTTAAAGGTGAGAGTTAATGATGTTTTAGAGAACTGGGAGCTAGTGATATTTTGCAGGAATGGTGGTTATGTAGAATTACAGCTAGTATCGCTCACCCTAGCGATTTTTGAAACATGGTTTTTGAGCGGCGCGTTGACTTGCGTCTTAGATGGGCACGCACATAACGAGTGACTGACGATAGGAGACAAACTTCCCCGTAACGAACGAAATTGTCGGCACAGGTCAGCTCCTGGGAGTAGCAATGCCTCATGCTCGTGTGTGACAGCGGGCGACGTACCGCGGGTGGAGAACATTTAGCGTTCAGCGCTAGTTTCACTATCATGTTTTTGAGGTGCTCGGCTTAATTTGAAGCAATGTCTGCTTCCTTAGCCTGGAACAGGGCATGTGGCTGCTGTCCCGGTGCCAAGCTGCGACAAGTGGTAATCGGACGCGCGACCACGGATGCGCCCGTGGAAAAGACAACGTGTTTGGGTATTGGGTGGTTGGTTAGTGGTACGAATGCAAAAATGCGATTTGCATAAATGGGCAGATGTCATGCAAATATTCGTGAGCAGGTGTGATAGCGACAGGAAATTGGCACGCTGTTCCTGGGAATGGCACGTGCGAAAGTATGGGCCTAAGCTGGACGCCGCACGTGTCACCACTACCAATATGGAGTGGTTCGCCGTGCGGGCTGGCTATCTTTCAGCATATTTTTCCGAAAACTTTTTTGGCTAGAACATGGTCAGATTTGGTTGATATTACCAGTTACGGTAAATAATTTCGTAACACCCGCCAAAGCACTATCAACTTGGATTTCTGCTGCGCATGAATGTTTCCAAGCACCCGAGATGTTCTTGGAAGCAAACTTGTCGAAATGCCGCCGCTATCATTGGCCATTAAATACTGGTTCTGTGATTTGTTAAGTTGGGTATCGTGAGCAAACGACCCATGCCCACGAGTTGTAGAATGTCACCGGCCCAAGCAAGGTGCAAACTTATCGGAGTAAAGTGAACCAACCTCCAACTGATCCGTAGAACGACCAAGCGGGATGTGACAAAGGCGTAGGACGGGCTGGTCTTCCTGGTGTTCACCGTCTTTGGTAGCAGCACCCATCATACCCCACGGGACTGTCGACATCCCTCGTGCCGTTCCATCGTGAGGGTGTGCCGCGCGGGACTGTGATGCGTATCGTCATGTGGTGATCACGGTGTCCTTTCCCAGGTGTAAACACTACTTCTGCGAAGGCTGTGCGTTGAAGGAGTACAAGAAATCAAAGCGCTGCTTCGTCTGTGGTGTGCAAACTCACGGAGTATTCAATGTCGCCAAAGAGCTCATCGACAAACTCAAGGGGTCTGAGTCTAAACAGAACGTGAGCAGTGACGGTGATGGAGAGGATGTGTGACGATTGAACAGCGGATGGCGACGTGACTGATGGGGGTTATGAATTGTGATGAATGTCATTGAACGAGGTTTAAGGCTTGTCGCGCATCCTGTACTGATGTTAGATGTTGTCACAGAGGCCTGGTGTCGGGGTCATTTACCATCAGACATCAGTGCTGCACGGTTTGTTTGTCTTTTCACTGAAGGTTAGACATGCGGTCTGTCTATGAAGAATGTCTGTGTTTCCTCGTTCTTTCGAGGAGTTGGGTCGTGTATGTTCCTACTGTCTTACGCCTGCTGTACATCATACCGGGGTAGAATGTACACATGTATGACAAATGTTGAATGTGAATGGCCACATCATGCGTAACTGGGCTGATGCAAGCATGTGGGTTTACAAAAACTCGCATGGTGTACAAACGCATTTTCGTCGTCCGACTTGCACTGGAAGGAAAACATCCGCCAAAAACAGATCCGGTTCGTTTTCTGCTCGTGTACTAGACGCATGTGAAAGGGAAAAGAATGCCCGCCAATGATCTAGTTGTTTTGGCGCGCTGCGTACTTGCGCGTTGTTTGTACTTCAAGAATGTTGGTTCGTAACTGAGACACATTCATTGTACACAACCCCACGCTTCATATGTTGCAGGTATGAATGCATGACATGCTCCTAAAGTGGTGCATATCACGCAACTTTCATAGGCTGCGTGATAAGCCTACCATCGCAGCAAATTCTTGGTCATTAATGACATTTTCGTTAACCGTATGGCAGAGCACCTGGGGCCAGCCTCGATTTGGCCTGAGTGGGTCGTCTTGTCTTGACTTGCACCAGGCATTCTGTCCTGTCATAAAGTTTGTACACGCTGGACCGGCGGCATCGAACGAGTTTGTGCACGCATCGAAGTTTGTACACGCCGGACCCTTGCTGCAGCCGACACGCGCCCGCTGCGAGTGTCTCACGAGGGTTGCGGGTTGGGGTCACGACAAGTCCGTGTCTGCGCGGGTCCGGGATCGGCTCCCGAGACGCTGCCCTTTGGGAGGCCGGCTGCGGCTGTGTCTGCCAGGGCAGCGGAGGCGTGACCGAAGCCGTGCAGTGGCCAGTCGGGTCCGCCGGGAGCCGGCTGCCTGGGATATAGCGCAGCAGGTAACCATGGTGACTAACCGCTCGCAGTTTATCGACCAGCAGCCGAATGTCTGCTGCCCGCCGGCGCTCGCCGACCGGTGCAGGGCGGAGCGGTCCAATACCAGCGCCCGTATAGAGGGTCCAACGCCGCGGCCGTGTGGAGGGTCTAACACTATGTCCATATAGAGTGGCCCAACTCCGCACCCGTATAGAGGGTTCGACACCGCGTGCGAGTAGCGTACGGATTGCCTTCACGGCGGACTGGTGGTTTATGACTGACGCCATCCAATCGCGGTGATTCAGTGAGTTTGCCGCCGTGGGGCAGTGTCACGGACATGGCCGTCCGCCGGGTCTGGCTGTAGTCACAGTCGGCGGCCATGTGTGTGTGGCTCGCGCGTCTGACTGGTGCAGGCACACGATCAGGCCGACGGTCGTCCCAGCTCGGTGTGCGGTGTTTGCATGGTGCTGCGTCGCGGGAGTGATGAAGTCAGGTGATTAAACGGCAAGAGGGCTATTTCCAGCAGCTCATACCAGGAGATTTCGCTGCATGCGCGCGCTGCCTATACAGAGCTCAGCGAGAAATAGACCCGGCGGACGCCTGCCGCCGGTGAGGGGCTGCACGCTTACCATTAAAATATAGCTGCTCGCTCGGCGGACGTGAAGTGTAGCAGTCAGCCTTGGCTTTGGGACCCGTTTCCAGAAGCCTGGAACGCTGGTAATTTTTGGAATTGACGTAAACCTAATCTGAAACGTGCTTCGACAGCGTCTATGCTTGAGGTTCACACACGCGCAATACCGTCGTGGCGTGTGCGAAGCTAGCAGTAGTTCGGTATTCATACCCGGCGGCGCCCCCTACGATTTTAATGAGACCAACGATAGCCCAAGGCGCACTGACACATTGCGCAGTCTTTTTGTTGGTCACCATACGGTTTGACTCCCAGGGTTCACAACGGATAATCGTTAAATGTTGACCAACATGATGTATGTTATACGCAATCCGATCCGGAACGTTTTGCACATTCTAAACAAATGTCTTCAACATACTCGTCCAACAAGCAGATCGAAAGATGTTCATTTTCTTGCACGCTGATCAGTTTTTCGCCTGATGATTTGTTTTCCCACTAACCGGTGCAGGGCCCAGCGAACCAGCAATTCGTAACCCTTTCTATTTTCGATAGCTACGAGTATGTATCAAATAAACTGCCGGCGCGATTCATGTCAGTGCTTCGTTGGACTCCTATACCGATACACGCAGGGGCTTTCCTAAAAAATCGAGTTTCTTCAGAGGTATTGCGGATCCCGTCGATTGAACATAGATTGATGATCGGAGTGGGGCGAAAAAAAGTTGTCATAACCATCCTATGCTTGCCCAGAAATCGTGCTCCTTAATTCAGGACCGAGCACTGAAAACACCGGGAAAACACATGCGCGTTCGTAGCCCAAGAAAAAAACCGACGCCCGGTGTTGCAGTCTCCATAGGTCAGGTGGTGTCCGCCCTGCGGCTAACACTATGTGACGGCCAGCGGGCAAACGAAAACGGTCACGTATCTGAAAGAAATACATTTGGGCGCATTATACATCGATTCGCACGGTTATAGGGCAATCTGAGCCGTTTAGTTTATCTGTACCATTTTCAGATGAATAATGGAAACACATTAGCATTAACAGCCCTGCGAACTTTAGCACGCGCCCAGGTGGTCGGCTAGATACCCTTCGCTCGGGTGGGGGGCGGGGGGAGATCGATTTGACCCCGCTGAGATCTCGGGAACTAAGTAAGCTAGATACACCAAACTTAGGGGGATGTGTTGAACTGTACGTGGACTCACTTAGGCCAAAGTTTGAGGCTTCTAAATCATGGCATTCAGGTCAAATAAAGTCAATCAACGTCAAATTCCAGGCTGGTCTCCAAAGGGCCCCGAAAAAAAGATAACTGTTTCTAAGCAAAAGGTCACGAAGCTCATTTAAGGTCAGTGACACTGTTTTACGTTTTGAAGGTCATGGTGACCGAAATCATACAAGACTGCTCTGAGTTTTGCACTTTGAATAAGCGACAAAAATTACGCTGGCATCATGCTTCTAAAGCAAAATGTCAACCTGGGTCATCTTAGATCAAGGACCCATTCTGACCTCTGGCAAGTCAATATAAGATGTATAATGCGGTTCATGCTATCAATAATTCGAAATCAGCACCAGAAACTACCCCATGCAGCAAGCACTAGAGCAATGAAACTAGGTTGGGTTTGACCTTGGTCTGACATTCACACCTGACCTTGGGTCAACGTAATCTGCTCATTCAATATTTGTGTTCTCTAAGAAAGCATCTAAGAGATGCACGGCTTTGTCAAACACTCCGTTTTTGCACCAGATGGAGCGATTCCCTAGAAATTGCCTTCGCTGAAACCGTGGCCTGACTTTGACCTGCCATAGGCATATCTTACACACGAGACATATCTTATTTGAATGACCTTACAAGGCATATCTATTTTTATCAAACGATTCCGCCATTCAACTGCTTACAGCTATGCAAAATTCGGCGCGGTTACGCCGCGCCGTTCGGAAACCATTCTGGAAAAACCTTTGGGGGGTCAATTTGACCTCTCCACCTGAGCCCGTGTTAAACATCATGGTGGAATCCCTATTTTTCGAGTTGCTGCAGCTATGTTAGTGTTCAGAGCATATCCCCCAAATTATATAGATGAAATGTACCCAGCAACCCAATGTAAGAAGGCCACGAATTTATTCTGAGACTTTTGGAGGCATTGTCTCACGACACATGGTCGCTCTTGCACGCCCGGCGCCCGCCGTCCGTTGTTGGCTGTGACGGCTAACGTCGCTCGCTTTAACGAAAACTGCGGCCCCGGGTGTCGATGGTCCTGCTCCTAGAGGCTGTGAGTGCACAGGGTCGCCCTTCGAAGATGTTTGATATAACTGTTTCACTAGTCGATTCTGAGAAAGGATGGACATCCTCAGGCAAGCATTCGTTGGCCTTTTGGAGGACGCGCAGTTCATTTTTGACTTCATTTCCATCTACCCTACTGAACACTAAGGACACCACTTACCTTTCCCAGGCAAGGGGTCCCCTGGGTAAAATACAAAGAGACGCATTACTGCCCCAGTCAGGGACTGAAGGGACATTCCGTCCGGCGCGGGGTGCCTATAGTCTGCGATTCTGCCGGCACGGGGACGGGGTCCCCTGGTCAATCTGGAGGCCCATAGAGGGATGCATCATGCATTGTTCCCTCCCAACGTGGCAGGCTATCTGATCCAAGCAGTTGGCCTTGCATGGACGCAGAGGACCTCATTGACGCAAACAAATCCCTTTTCGTCGCAGTTGGTTCAATAATTGGCCAAGAGAATCCAGTTAGAGATTCTAGACCAAAAAGTCTTTGGCTGAATTAGAGTGGGGGTGCCGTTCAACATAAGGCCGCTGACTGATACAGGGCCGTTCCATTATCTCACTATGGACTCTCATCGTTACTTATCACATTTCCTTTCGCTGCCAGGGGGCTTTGCCTTCCACCAAAGCAAGGAACCTCTGGCATTTGGGGTCCCATCACTGTCCCCGTTCAGCGAATGCCCCCCTGGCCGATTCAGCACCACTCGACCTCGCTGCTTGAGGCGCCCTACACTTTTCGGGACTATGTAAGGGACTAATTGCACTTGCGGTGGCCTTGCACCCAACGCATTCCCTATGTGCTCCTGGCCTGTGTCTTGCCGAAGCGACCATCTAGGTATCGACCTTCTCCAGGTTTCCACGGTCATCCCGGAACGCATAGGCCGTCTCAAGGAGTCAGAGGCCCCGACCTTCCCTGGCGCCGTAACTGTTTTGGGACCCAATAACCGTCTTGGACTCCAGCCTAAGCGTGCCCGAGTCCACTTTCTTCTCTGGTGTCTCCTAATGTTTCCTTCGCTGTGGTCCCCTGATGTTTCCTTCTAATGTTTCTTTCTCTGGGGTCGCCTGTTTTTTCTCTGAAGGGGACCCCCAGAGAATGTTTTATTATCTGGGGTCCCCTAATGTTTCCTTCTCTGGGGCCATCTAATGTTTCGGGGGCTGATCAAATGTACTAGCTCCC